TCAAAGGTGACGTCACGAGAGTGAAAGAAGCGGTGAGACGGCGGGTGGTAAAAGTGCCAGTCGGACGCGTCAAGGGGAAAACCGAGGAAGACGCAGGGAAGGGTGCGGGCAGTGAGCTTGTCCGTGCCGGAGGCACGGACGTGAGCAAGGCAGCCCCAGACGTGGAACGCAGACGCGTCACCAGGAGACCCAGTCCACAGACGGGTCGGCGAAACCTGCGGCTGCTGAGGGTGCGGCCACAGGTTAAGCTGGTGAGAAGCGTAGCGCACAGCGAACGGCCACAGAAAATGGGGTGCACCGGCATGGACCATGGAGGTGCGAGCGACCTCCATGACCAAGCCGATGCGTCGCTCAGCGACCCCATTCTGCTGTGGGGAGTCCGGTAGGGTGAACGTCTGGGTGATGCCCTCCGCACGACAAAAGCGACCAAGAACACCTGAGGCAAACTCGCCACCACGGTCGGAGTGAAGACGCAAGACAGGGAGACCGCGGTGGACACGCGCAGAGACAAGCCAGGGGATGAGGGCGCCAGGCACGTCGGCCTTGCGCTCCAGGGGAAAGACTGTGGTGTAACGAGTGAAGTCGTCGACAAGCACATGGAAGTAGCGCTCGCGACGCGGCCCAGGGACGGGGGCGGGGCCCCAGACGTCCAGGTGCAGGGTCTGCAGCGGCGCGGCGGTAGGGGGGAACGAGGAGGAGTGAGGGGCACGGCGAAGCCGACCCTCGACACAAGGCGTGCAAGGTGGAGCTGGGGAGGAAGGAAACGCGGGGAGTGAACCTGGGAGACCAAGGACAAGACCGTGCTGGGACATGTGACGCAGACGCGGGAGCGCAGGGTGACCTAGGCGGTGGTGCCACAGGAGGGTCGGGTGAGTGAGGAGCAGGCAGCAGCAACCTGGGGAGACACAGCCCCCTGAGGGGGCGCTCCAGCCGGGGGGGGCACGGTGTCCAGAGTGAACAGGCCGGACACCGGGTCCCGGGGGAACGTGGACAGGGGGGCACCAGTGGTGGCCTCAGTACAGACAGCATACCGCTCGTGACCAGGGAACGTAGTGGTGACGCCAAGGTCCTGGAGGCAGCCGACACCAACTAGGTTCCTGGAGAACGAGGGGATATGCAGACCTGTAAGAGAGCCCGAAGGAACCGCCGGACAGGGAAGGGTGGTGGAACTGCGGGCGACTACCGGACCGCCGGAGGGGTCAGCAAGAGAAACGGCAGCAGGAACAGGAAGCGGCGTCAGGGTGGTGGAGTCGCGGAAGAAACACCGAGAGGCGCCAGAGTCCAAGGTGAAGGAAAGCGAAGCCGAGGGGTCGGGCGACGGAACGACGGCAGAAGCACCAAGACTACACAAAGCAGGGGATCCTACGCCTGACGCAGCAGGGGAGGCTAAGCTAGGCACACCTACACTAGGCAACAGTGAGTAATAAGTCGGAAGCACACTAGAGTCATCAGCATACATCACATGCAGAGCAGAAACAATGGCATCCATGTCCATATCAAAGATCTGAATCTGACGACTAAGCAAATTGTGCCAGTCCGGGAGGTCTGGCGACGGGCCGAAACGCTGACGAAAGAGGTCGTCCAGGCGACGAAAGCAGCGGGGAGTGGAGTGACCGATCTTACCGCAGACGAAGCCGCGGCGAGGACCGGTCTGGATCTGGTACTGACAACGCCCGCCGGCAGAGCCACCACGCGGCACACCACCACGCGCCCGTCCACCGCCAGCGCCGGGCCACCCTGGCGGGAGAACACTCGTCTGCCGCGTCTGCGACGGCTGCTGCAGCTGCTGCGAAGGCTGCGCTGCGGCGGCTGCTGCAACTGCAGAGGCGGCGACTCAGCTGGACTGGGCAGGGTCCCCTCGTCCGCTCCAGCACCAGGCGACCCGACCCCACCACTACCCCCGCCCGCACCCCCGCCGCCCCCTCCGCCGCGCCCAGCCTTGGGGCGGCGGCCCTTCCAAGAACGGGCCTGCGCAGCAGCAGCAGTCTCAGCCACTGCGGCAAAGCCGTCGGAGAAGGTACACTGAGCGGGGGCACAACCCTGAAAGATAGGGACCGGCACGACACCGCTCGCCTGGGCGATGGAGCGGTGACGGGTCTCTATCACAGTCAGGGTGTCGACAAAGTCAGTGAGGGTGAGGTCTGCGGGGTGAACACTAAGGAAGCGGTCGCGGGCGACGGCAAGGCGGTCAGGGAGGCGGGTGGCAAGCAGGTAGAGGGTTGAGGTAATGGGCGGCTGGTGGGCTCTAAGCTGTGCGTCAGTGCAGGCGGCGCGCCAGGTCTCCTCTATCGAGCGCAGGTGGGCAGCGAGGTCAGAGACAGTGGGGAACGAAGCAAGGTCAGGAAAGAGCAGCGGGAGGATCAGGCGACCCACCGAGGCAGCCGGAGGGGTGGAATAGCGCTTGATGACAGCATCTAAGTATGCCTGAGCAGTAGTGAGGGACCTAAAGCGAGGACGCTCGGACGGGGGGAGGGCGTTGCTAATGGCAAGCTGGGCGACAGCATCGCGAGAAAGCCAGACAGAGCGCGCACGGGCAGTGGCAGCAGTAGACTCACGCTCAGTGGGTGTGGGGTCAGCGGGCAGAATAGCAGGAGGGTCAGGGCAGGGGAGCGTACCGTCAAGGTGTGCGGAAAGCGGTTCACCATCCTGCCGCTGGCCAGTGAGTTGGCGGCGGAGGTCGGCAAGCCACGCCTCGAACTCTAGGGGCTGACCTTCAGCGTCGAAGCGAAGCTCCGCCGCCATCAGGAACAGTCCAGTGCTGTGCAGGGCGGTGCAGCTAGGTGGGGTGCGGTGCAGTGCGGTGCAGTGCGGTACTGTGCGGTACAGTGCGGTGCAGTGCGGTGCAGTGCGGTACAGTGCGGTGCAGGGCGGCACGGAGCAGGGCGGGGTGGGGGGGGGGGGGGGGGGGGAACCGTACCAGTGAGGAGGACGGGGCCGGGGCTGGCCCGACGGGGCCGGGCGGGCGCGACGGGGCCGGGCTGGTGCGACAGGGCCGGGACGGGGCGACGGGGCCGAGCTGGCGCGACGGGGCCAGGCTGGGGCGACGGGGCCGGGCGAGTGCGGCAGGGCCGGGCTAGTGCGACGGGGCCGGGCGGCTGCGACGGGGCCGGGCAGGGTGCGACGGGGCCGGGCGGGTGCGACGGGGCCGGGCGGCGCGACGGGGCCGGGCAGGGTGCGACGGCGCCGGGCGGGCGCGACGGGGCCGGGCGGCGGCGACGGCGCCGGGCGGCGGCGACGGGGTCGGGCGGGCGCGACGGCGCCGGGCGGGCACGACGGGGCCGGGCGGCGGCGACGGGTACGACGCGGCCCAGGAGGGGCGCTACGGGGGCCTAGGAGGGGCGCGACGGGGCCTGGGAGGGGCGCGACGGGGCCCAGGAGGGGCGCTACAGGGCCCAAGGAGGGCGCGACGGGGCCCAGGAGGGGCGCTACGGGGCCCAGGAGGGGCGCGACGGGGCCCAGGAGGGGCGCTACGGAGCCCAGGAGGGGCGCGACAGAGCCCAGGAGGGGCGTTACGGGGCCTGGAAGGAGCGCGACGGGGCCCAGGAGGGGCGCGACAGAGCCCAGGAGGGGCGCTACGAGGCCTGGGAGGAGCGCGACGGGGCCCAGGAGGGGCGCTAGGGGGCCTGGGAGGGGCGCGACGGGGCCTGGGAGGGCGTTACAGGGCCCAGGAGGGGCGCTACGAAGCCCAGGAGGGGCGCTACGAGGCCCAGGAGGGGCGCTACGGGGGCCCAGGAGGGGCGCGACGGGGCGCTACGGGACCTGGGAGGAGCGCGACGGGGCCCAGGAGGGGCGCTAGTGGGCCTGGGAGGAGCGCGACGGGGCCTGGGAGGGGCGCGACGGGGCCTGGCAGGGGCGCTACGAAGCCCAGGAGGGGCGCGACGGGGCCTGGCAGGGGCGCTACGAAGCCCAGGAGGGGCGCGACGAGGCCCAGGAGGGGCGCTACGGGGCCTGGGAGGAGCGCGACGGGGCCTGGGAGGAGCGCGACGGGGCCCAGGTGGGGCGCTAGGGGGCATGAGCGGAAGCGGTGGGTGGGGGGGGGGGGGGATCCTACCTACGCGTGATACCATATCAGAATAATTGAATGAAAGTAAAGTGAGAGTACACACAAATATATCTAAGTTTTGTAACCTCTAAGAGGTGACTCTATACAGTCTATACAAACATAACAAATACGCATGTTTGACAAGTATATGTATATATTTATATTAATAAACCCTTGATGTAACCTAGACAAAGGTGAAAAGCATGTATTGTGCTCAACGCGCTCATTGTAATACGATATAAATTACATTTGTACATTTTCTCTCATCCAGACCATAAAGAATCATATGTACTCTTTGTAGTATCATATACATCATTATTTAAATATAATTGTTTATAATATTATTACGAGAAAAATTGATTCCCAATCAAATAATTTATTCCTCACAACTTACACAATTATGAACTTTAATATGAAATGTAAATTTAAACGTCATACCAACTGTATTATTCTTAAGATTCTACACATTGGAAATCTATAGACTACGCAACCCTTCCGACGCTTGGGCGTCGAGCCTTGTTGATAATTTCCCTAATCCATATACCGAATCATCATACCCGTTAATGTCTCAATATCATGCCGTTGTATTATAGGATAAGGCCACTACATCGAAAACAAGAACTACCTCCTGCACAAAGAGTTATAAATAGAAGTGGTACTCCATTATCCACGCTTCTCAAGTTTCCAATAATCAGTGTTGCAGTATATACGTCATTACATTTCTGTCAGTACTGCATTAACCCCACAGGTGGTCCTCAGAATAGTAAAATTGCTGAGAAATTTTAGGGCGCTTGCTTGCAAGAAGTCCTTTCTACGTAAAATGCCTTCACTGAGTAGGTGCAATAAAAGAGAGCAAGACATCAACAAACGACTGTTTGCTCAGATGCCCTTGCAACAGTGGCTAAAACGCTGTTGCTGCTTGCCCCAGCTCCAGCACTCTGCCTCGTTGGCAACCTGGCCTTGCTGAGCTGGCGCTTGCGCTCAGCAACAAGGCGGTCCCACTGCGAGTGGCCTGAAAGAATAGTGTTCTTTACGGCGTCGTAAGTGGTCAGACGCACACTGCAGCAGAGGCAGGGGGCAAATGAGAGGATGAGATTTTGATAAGAAGAATATCAGTAAGGGCGGGCGACATTAGGCTCGAGCTGGGGCAGAAAACCGAGCCCGCAAGTCAATGTTGGGAGAATTGGCGAATGAAAACGCTGAATTTCGGCATTTCTGCCCAACACTGAGCTCCGGGCTCGGGTTTCTGCCCAAGCTCGAGCCTAATGTCGCCCGCCCTAAGTCAATGAAAGGAGGGTGGGGCAGTGATGTGTGAGCAGGAAGGGCAGGAGTGAGGGAGGATTTAGCCAACAACACTTACCTGCTGTTAGGGAGGTTCTTGACCGTGTTGGCAATGAAACCTCGGTAGAGCCCCAGCCAGCCATCTCGCCTCACTATGCCTGTTGCCACATACACACACGCACACACACCATACACACGCACACACACCATACACACACTCTGAGCACAAGGCTGCAGACAACTGCATTCACATACCAATACACTGGAGGAGCCAGCAGAACGAGGTGACTCAGCAGTCAATCAACAGTCCCACACACTCGTCAACCAGACAAAGGAGTGGGGGGTTGGAGGGGCGCACCTGGGAAGGCTTCGATCATGGAGTTGAAGGGCGCGCCCTTCATCTGCATCTGGCGCCTGATTGTGTCGATGGGGTAGCACGACACCGTCGCCAGCGTCGTGGCTGCCAGCGCCGTCACCAGGTTCGCCTGAGGCGTGCCCTGGTACTGCTCTGGCACCCGGCGCTTTATCCTGGAGGGGGGAAAAGGGGGGAGGAGGGGAGAGGGGGGTAAGTAAGAATGGGTGGAGAGAGGTGTCTAGTGTGACATGGCACAGCAAAAGCGCACAGGTTTGAGCAATGAGTACACGTATTAAAGCCCACACACATCATGCCCCAGCACGTACACACACACACACATCATGCCCCAGCACGTACACACACACACACATCATGCCCCAGCACGCGCTCACACATCATGCCCCAGCACGTACATGCGCACACACATCATGCCCCAGCACGTACATGCACACACACATCATGCCCCAGCACGTACATGCGCACACACATCATGCCCCAGCACGTACATGCGCACACACATCATGCCCCAGCACGTACATGCGCACACACATCATGCCCCAGCACGTACATGCGCACACACATCATGCCCCAGCACGTACATGTCATAGGCACAGAAGTTGAGGGCAATGTAGGGCGCAATGGACACCAGGGCAGGCCCCAGCCCCTTGTACAGTGACCTCGCTCCCTCCTCGCGCACCATCGCCATCGCCACCTGCCACACACACGCACGCAGCGGAAGAGGAGCGGATGTGAGCAAACGTGTGAGGCGGAATGCTAGCAAACGCGTGAGGCAGCGTTAGCAGCACTCGGAGGCAGAAACACGCAACCGCTCGTCACGGCACAGGAAGTTATGTGTCTGCTGTGGCGATGGTGGCCTTGACACCCTTCACTCAGCCGCGTATCCCCAACCCCTCCTCCCAAGTCCTCTGTTGAGGCATCCGAAACCCCTATCCCCAGCCCCATTCTGATCCTGAAACCACCAGCGCCCTTCAATCCCCTCGACCCCGCAATGGCCAACATTGACATGTCGCCACCACCGCCAGCGATATCGTCTCTCCCACCAAAAGCGCCCTCCTGCTCTGAACGGCAAAGACCTCCCTACTCGCAGCCCTGCCAACCACTCACCCTCCCCTTGCCCACTCTCCCTTACGCCCACAAGCCTCTCGTTTCCCTACGAGCTAGTCGCGCCCTGCACTCCCAACCACACACGAAACTCGCACCGCTGATTCTCCGCCCAGCCGCCGCAATACATAACCCCAATGCAACCGCCGCTCGCTATTCCCTTCCCTTAAACGCCCATGAGCCAGCTCGCGCCGCTCTGATCGCTCCCGCAGCCCTCTGCACACGACTTAAGCCTTATCCACTTCCCCTCGGCTTCCGACGACCCTTATTACGCGCGAAACACCATCCCTCCCTGCTCCCCACCTGCGCGATGCTCCCGTTGGTGGTGTCCAGCGCCATGCGCAGTCGCAGCACGTCCAGCGGGTACGTCACCAGCGTCGAAGTCATCCCCGCGCATGCCCCCGCCGCCAGCCGCGCCGGCACCGACAGCTCCTTGCTGCTCCCTCGGAATTGCTTCTGAGAGACGAGAGCGGGGGAGTTGGGGGAGGGGACCTTTCAGCACAGAGCAATAACGCGCGCCGAGGTGACGAACAGCGACGTGCCGAACGGCGAGGTGAGGAGCGAAGGGTGAGGTGAGGAGCGCACCTTGTAGAGCTCGTAGGCGAAGAGCTGCACGGCGCTGTAGGGCACGATGCGCATGACCTGACGCGGAAGGGGGGAGAGAGAGGACGCGGAGGGCAGTAAATGAGCAGAGAAAGGGGGGAGAGGAGGCGGACGAAGTGGGCGCGGGAAAGCAAGGTCAATGGAGGGGACAGGGTTTTAACCGAAGGGATGTTGGGAGGAATATCAATAAGTTACCTGAGGCAAGTTGCCTTTCCAGTAAGCCGTGATGCCTCCTTCCTTCCCAATGTCCAGAAACGACTGCAAGAAACAGAGCGACAAGACCCATTAATCTACTGGGGGCGCAGACTAATGTGCCCGATCGGCAGGCTTAATAGCAGCAAAATGGCAACGTGTACTTATCTTGACGATCTTTAAGAGGCGGGACATAATGCAGAAACACGAGGATGGAGGACACATTGAAGAACAGCGCGTGGCTTGAAAGCGCGTGGCAGAAATGCTGGCGGAGAGCGCACCTTAACGAGGTTGATCTCCGTGGGCGGGATAACCTTCCCCGGTAGAACGCTCTTCACCTGAGATTCAACCGCAACGCACAGCGAGGTGACAACGAAGACGGCGTTGAAAAGGCGGGGAATGCAGCGCGTGAAACCCGGATCAGGTGCTATTCCACCCTCCGTCTGCTACCACCGACTCAACCCCCCTCCCAGAGTCGCATTTCCCACTTGCTCCCCGCGTCCCAACGACCTTCCCTTCGCCCACCTGGATCATCAGCTTCCAACGGATAGGAGTCTAGTTTTGAGGCGTCTCAAAATCCGCGTGATCGGAGTCTAGTTTTGAGGCGCCTCAAAATCCGCGTGATAGGAGTCTAGTTTTGAGGCGCCTCAAAATCCGCGTGATAGGAGTCTAGTTTAGAGGCGCCTCAAAATCCGCGTGATAGGAGTCTTGTTTTGAGGCGCCTCAAAATCCGCGTGATAGGAGTCTTGTTTTGAGGCGCCTCAAAATCCGCGTGATAGGAGTCTTGTTTTGAGGCGCCTCAAAATCCGCGTGAAAGGAGTCTAGTTTTGAGGCGCCTCAAAACATTTCCCACTTGCTCCCCGCGTCCCAACGACCTTTCCTTCGCCCACCTGGATCATCAGCTTCCAACGGTCTAGCGGTGCGGTCACGGTTTTAGCGGCAGCGCCGGCGACGGCGCCAGAGATGAAGAAGGCGGCGTCCTTGGGAATGCCGCGGAGCAGCGCCACGGGATGCGTCAGCAGCTGCACCAGCGACGGCCGCGTCACCGCCTTCTCGACGTTTCCCGCCCGATCCAGCGCTGCAGCCGCAGCAGCCGGTGCTTCGGAAGCCAGCGCGCGCTCTTCGATGGCCGACGCCTCCGAGCTTACGCTTTTCAGGGACGCGACCGAGAGTGGCATCGACGCGGAAGCTTTTCCGAAGTTGACGCTGGTGACAGCGGGTGCGCCGTCCGCCTTCTCGCCATTCACGCGTGCCACGGAAGCCGCCGGCGTTTTGGCGAATCTGGCGCTGGATATGGCGGCTAGAGGGAGGGCTGCACGGCCCTCTGCTCCTGGCGACCCCTTCGCCGCTCGTCGCGTCTTACCCTGCCGATGAAATACTGGTCGACTGTGCGATCGGTTCGAAGACAAATGGCAGTCTGTTGATACGGCTGGAGAGGGGGACACGGCCGCCTGGAAACCCTGGTATCTATCCCTGTGGGTTTCCCAGAAGCTATCAAAGCGCTGCTTGTGATCTGAAAGAGCGGTGTGGAGCGATGAGACGAGGGACGAGAGCTCAACGGCCAGCGCTGGTCCGTGCTTCGTACGACAGTCAAGCGGAGACGCCATTCCAGCTCCTCACTCCGCCAAACGATGGCACAAGTTCCCGGAAAGCAAGTTCCTTCCAAGGCGGCTATCCTGAAGCTGGGACTAGGGAAGCCCAGCAGCAGGAATGGCCAGGGCAGAGGTGGAAGATGGAAGAGTAGAGAAGAAAGGCAGACAACGGATGTCACGGCAGGAATAAGACCCAAGAGTTAGGGAGTGAGGGGAGTGAGGGCAATGAAGAGTGGCTGGCTGGCTGATGAATGTTGGTCAGTCAGGAGGGTTTCAGGTTCACGGTGACAGGGAGGGACACACTTCCCCTCACCACCTATAAAGCCGCCAAGTTTCAAGGGCCTGGTTTGGACATCGAGGTTGGTTACGTGTACGAGAATACATCTTACGGCTGTTATCAGCTGTACTGATATCTCAGGTACGATCTACGGTGTGGATGTGTCGACGGCCTTGGGTTCCACTTTTTCTGGATGCTTGGATTGCTTTCGCAGCGGCCCCTTCGGTGCTTGGTGTGCGCCGAAATGGAGCTGCTGTGAGTATGAGCCGTCGATTACGAATTTCATCCTGACATCGATTCGTTCATCTTTGCCGCGCTTGCCTCCGAGAGCATCAGCCAGCATTGATCAGAAAGTGAAACCCCTCCCCATCATCCTCCAGGGCACCCAAATATGTGCTGCCACGTGGGGGTGGCTTTCGCGGCACTGTAAGGTCAGGACGCGTGGAAAGCGTTCCATTCACACAAGCGGAGTCCTCATCCAATTCGCTCATCACCCGGGTCTCTCGTTATGAGCTAAACCAATTTCGGAAATCATTCATTCTTACGTTATGCTTCAAGGGGAGGTGGTGTAGATGAGCATATCTGTAGCTACGCGGGAACAAATCAGATTCCAGGGCATGCCAGGCATTTCGTTGCTCCCTCCCAGTCATCTCCACTCCCCCCATTCTCCCTCGGCATTCCACACAGAGATCATTTCTCCAGCCTACTGCTTTCGCACGATAGGCACCAGACAGACGAACCTCAAGAAGCATATCATATTCAGAACGGCGACTAGAAGCAGATGAGCTAGGTGCTGTCGCCAGGAAGCCTGTCATGGCCGATGCCGCCGAGCAGTTGGCGTTATTCACGTAGATCATTCCACCAGCTTTCGACACACGCGCCGCAATGGGGTTCGCTCTTGAGTAGAGCTCGGTTTCAACCTCGGCGGAACTCTCGCGGGTCAACATTGGCTTCAGCCTCGCCTCGCCCAATCGCTGCTGTTGAATCCGTCATCGCCAGCCATTCTGTCAGCGAATCCGTCACACCACCATTCCGCCGACCGCCAAAATGCAGCCTTCAGGGCCATTTGCCCGAAGCAGCAACCGGCGAGATTCGGCTCCCAGCAAGGACGATGCGGACGACGCCAGCACACAGAAGCTGGGAAGCTTCGGAAGAAGCAGCAGCAGCGGGTTGGGGGCCTCGTCCCCCCATGGGCGGTGGCGGTCCGTCGAGTTTTTCCTCATGTACTGCTACACCGCGTACTTCTACTACCAGGTGCGATGCTACACCGCGTACTTCTACTACCAGGTGCGATGGTATACTGCGTACTTCTGCTACTGAGTGTGATTCCTGCTTCTCGTATCAATGTCCGGATGGCGCCGGGGGACTCTCCCTAATCCCGCTCCATTCCGCGGTCCTCGTCATATATTCGGTCTGCATTCTCTCACAGTGCGGGTCATAACCCTCATTCTCTCACAGTGCGGGTCATAATCTGCATTCTCTCAAAGTGCGGGTAATAACCTTTCATCCGATCTGGCCATCCCGTCTCCTCTCTTCCGTTGGTCCGCTCTCAGGTGGTCCGCCACGCCGTGCGCCTGTCCGACCGTTATGCATCCCTTGTGCGGCTGTGGCCGGCCAGCAGCAGCGGGCTCTACCCCGGCTGGATCGCCGGCAGAAAGGTCGACCTCTCTGACGACCAGTGGAGGAACTTTCGAGGAAACCTCCCCATCCTGACCGTTGTCATGGGTATGTTGTGCGGCTTGGCTCTTCTTATCAGGTTCGGGGTGACAGCTTCGGGCCAAAGCAAGGACGGTTCTGTGGGGGGTGTCAAGAGGTGGGGCAGCGGAGGGGGGCACGTGCTGGCATGGTATTGGCTCATAGCATCCCTAGCGTACGTGGTGTACCTACACGAGGCGAGTACACTCTTCCTCCTCGCCTTCGCCGTAGCGAATTACGTTCTAGTGAAGCAGCTGGGCTCATTTTGCGCAAGCAGAGGCAGCAGCAGCAGCAGCAAGCAGGGCGGAGCCACAGCCATCCAGTGGGGCTGGGTGTTCCCCGGCGCCCTGTGGGCGTGGCAGTGCGGCTCCTACGTCGCCATCCGCGCCCACGACGGCTTCAGATTCGCCCACCTGCCCCTCGTGGGGGGCAGCCTCGCGTTCCTGGACGCGCACAGGGGGGTGTTCCGATGGGAGATCTGCTACAACCTGCTGCTGCTGCGCATGATCAGCTTCGGGCTCGACTACTACTGGGCCGCCAGGGACGCTGCAGCAGCAGCAGCGGCACAAGGGGGGCTGGTCAGGAGTCCCAGGGGGGGGGCAGCAGCAGAGGCAGAGCCGCTGCTGGGGTCCAGGGGTACAGGTGCTCTCACCCCCAGCAGCACGGGCAGCAGTTTCCTGGAAGCTCACCGCGCCAGGTGCTTGCAGTGCCGGCAGGGCCAGGAGTGCTACACGGCGCGGCAGGGCGTGAGCCTGCCGCTGAGCGTGTACTCGCTGCCCAACTACCTCGCCTATCTGCTCTTCGCCCCGCTCTACATCTCCGGCCCCATCGCCTCCTTCAACGCCTTCACCTCGCAGCTCGACGCCCCGCAAAAGACAATGTCCGCCGCCCGGGTGGCCGTCTACGCCATGCGCCTGGCAGCCTCGTTCCTGCTGATGGAGCTTATGATGCACTTCTGCTACTTCCAGGCGCTAGCCAAGTCCGCCGGACCCTGGTTCTCACAAGCCTCCCACACGCCTGGGGGCAGAGACCTGGGGAGTGCCTTATGGGGCCAGGAGGCCCCTGGGAGCCTGGCCCTGGGCATGAGCATAGTGAGCTACGGCGTGCTCAACTTCATGTGGCTCAAGTTCTTCCTCATCTGGCGCTACTTCCGCCTCTGGGCGCTCGTCGTCGGCGTGGAAACCCCCGAGAACCTTCCGCGTTGCATTAACAATAATTATGACATCGAAGGGTTCTGGCGCGGGTGGCATGCGTCGTACAACAAGTGGATCGTGCGGTACCTGTACGTGCCGCTTGGCGGCGGGAAGCGGAAGCTAGTGAACGTGTGGGTGGTGTTCACGTTTGTGGCGCTGTGGCACGACCTGGAGTGGAAGCTGCTGTGGTGGGCGTGGCTCACCTCCCTGCTGCTCGCACCCGAGATGATCGTCAAAGCCATTGCCAACCTCAAGGCCATGCAGGTACGCGCCTTGCACCCACGTGTCAGTGTGCGGTGCAGTGGGATGTATGCCGTGCAGTGGGATTTATGCTGTGCAGTGGGATGTATGCTGTGCAGTGGATGTATTCTGTGCAGTGGGATGTATGCGGTGCAGTGGGATGTATGCTGTGCATTGGGATGTATGCTGTGCAGTGGGATGTATGCTGTACAGTGGGATGTGTGATGTGCAGCGGGATGTGTGCTGTGCAGCAGGTTGCATGCTGTCCTCCAGTGCTTGATATGGGCGATTCTGCACCATGCACTCAAATGTGTGCCATGGGCTTCGTCGAGTTGTGACTCCTGCCCCATCCACCCTCTTTCCCCCCCCACTATACCTCTCACTCGCATCCCCCTTTTTCCCCCCCCTACACTTCCCCCCTCACGGTCATCCTTCCACGGGGCTTCCACGAGTCATCCATGTTCCAGGAGTGCTGAGCCATTGCGGGTGCCATCAATCTGCTGGGTGGATCTTGAGTCAACTCCCCAGATCGCACCCTTTTCCGGCCTGCATGTGTGTCGCCTCACAGGGCTATTTCATGGGTGCGCCGCGAGTCCTGGCAGTAGCAGTCGCTGTCTAGAGACTTCTCTCACCCGTTCTCCCTTTCTCCCCACCCTCTTCTGCGCACATGGCTTCCACAGCTCGTGGCTGTACTGCAAGTGCTGCGCCATCGGGGGTGCCATCAGCATGCCCGGGGGTGTCAATGGTGGCTCTTCTCATCATCTTCCTCCCCGCCTGCTTTGAGGCGTCTCGATCATGGCTAACGGCTCATCATCTCCCTCCCCGCCTGCCTGGAATGAGTCGATTTTTTAGTCGACTCGAAAATCAACTCATTACACAATGGTGGCTCTGCACATCATCTCCCTCCCCGCCTGCCCCCCTAACAGGGCTTCCGCCGGTCGTGGCTGTACCGCGAGGCGTGTGCCATGGCGGGCGCCATCAACGTGCTGGGGCTGATGGCCGCCAACCTGGTGGGCTTCGTTGTGGGGCTGGACGGGGTCAAGGGCTTCCTCGCCAGCTTCCTCTCGGACCCCTTCCTTGTACTCGTTACAGTCTTCTCCATGTACGTTGGCGTGAAGCTCATGCTGGAGATCCGCGAGAGCGAGGCAAGGGCAAAGGCGCAGCAGAGTGTGCTGGGAGGGGAGGTGGCAGGCGAAAGGGTGAAGGTGGAGCAGGGGGCACCGGGTCGGCTGGATGACAAGCATGGCCATCAGATGTAAGAAGGCATCGGGTTTAGCACGGGCGTCAGATGTAGGTAGGCAGATCAGTTGGTGTTGCAATTGGTATACTGTAGTGCATTGGCTAACCTAGAAGGGGCGGCATTGGACGACGGATGGCGCTACTATCTGGTTCTTGTGTAGCACCAGCTGAAGCATTGTTTGCTGGATTTGGCATAAAATGTGGCTATCCTGGCATAGTGAGAAGTGTCAGTGGCAGGGTACCAGCAACTGCTGACGGTATGGGGTTCTGCAAAACAATTGAAGGGGCACCTAGCATTCCTTCTGCCGCACAAGTGATCGCGAAGCCATGATCTTCCAAAAGGTGGGTGTGTCAGAAACCCAGTCACTAACCACTGGGTTAAAAGGGCTTGTTGAATAGCGGGTAAGTGCGCCCATAGCCCCCCAGGCTCTGCACCTGTGGCCCTTCCCCGAGGATCTCAAGGGCAACCCCAGCGGGTCACTCAACACCCCCCCCCCCGCTGGGATAGGTGGAAGACACGAGCGCCTCTGCAGCGCTGGCACTGGGAGTTGAACCCAAGACCTTTGGCTCTGATACCATGTCAGAAACCCAGCCACTAACCACTGGGTTAAAAGGGCTTGTTGAATAGCGGGTAAGTGCGCCCATAGCCCCCCAGGCTCTGCACCTGTGGCCCTTCCCCGAGGATCTCAAGGGCAACCCCAGCGGGTCACTCAACACCCCCCCCCCCGCTGGGATAGGTGGAAGACACGAGCGCCTCTGCAGCGCTGGCACTGGGAGTCGAACCCAAGACCTTTGGCTCTGATACCATGTCAGAAACCCAGTCACTAACCACTGGGTTAAAAGGGCTTGTTGAATAGCGGGTAAGTGCGCCCATAGCCCCCCAGGCTCTGCACCTGTGGCCCTTCCCCGAGGATCTCAAGGGCAACCCCAGCGGGTCACTCAACAGGGTGTTGAAGTGAGATGTACAGCGCACACTTTGTCAAAAAGCTAGTCTAGGCTAGAAGGCAGTAAAGGCCGCCATGAATGTGGCAGCGGGGTTTAGCTAGGAGGGTAGGAAAAGTGTCGAGAGAAAAAGAGTGGTTGGAGTAGTAAGAGAGAGGCATACAAGGAGGGGTTTGTACCCTCTACAGAAAGGTTCAGTAACAACCTACCAAGCCTATATAGATTATAACTTAGATAATTTTAACACACCCCCTAGGCTTGGTAGTGTCAAGCCCACACACACACACCCCCACAACCCCTAACTAAGCACCCATGCCCAGCGGCAGCTGAGATGTCGTCGGGACTGGTCCAGTCCCACGGCCCGGGAGACGGCTATGGCGGCAGCGGCGGCAGTCACGAGAGCGGGGTCGGCGACGGCGTGCGGCGGCAGCAGGCCAGCAGCAACAGCGGCGTCGGCGGCGGCGGCTTCAATCGTCAGAGGCTACTGCAGCGGCCCCCGTCCTCTCGGCGGCATGGCCAGGCTCCTCGGCGACGGGGACGGCCATCACGAGGCAATCGTCGACTGTGGCAAGGAGGGGGGAACGGAGGGGAAGGAAAGGGGGGGGGGGGGGGGGGGAGCGGGACGTAGTCCAGAATCACGCCGGCGGCTGCAGAGCGGGCGGCAGGTCCGGCGGCACCACTGACGATGCGCGGCCGGCTGTCGCCCAACGACGCCACCACGGCAGCCAAAAGACGCCGCCACAGCGCGACGTCGATGCCGCGGCGGTGAGGCGGAGGTGCGACAGTAGCACGACTAAGCCGCCGCGGCATCTCGGAGAGGCCGCCACAGCGGCAGGAAAACTAAAGGCCGCCATCGGCGGCACGGAACGAAGACACACGAAAGACAAGTACGCGGCGGAAGCGTGGGGAGCAGGCCCGTAAACGGTCACCTGCTCTGAAACCATGTTAAAGTGAGAACTGAATAATAGAATAGAAGTTGAAATATAGAACAAATACTAGTTGGTTGTACTCACTAGAAGCATACCTCAGTCTAGCCTCAACTTCTACATAGCTAATATGTATAAGTTGACACACTTCACCTATACCACCTACACAAAAATTTCCAACATGGCAATATGGTAGCTAGAGCATGCATCATTTCCTACATTTGGCACTTAGCTTGATTCCTAGTACTACGCAACCCATTTGAGCACGATGGATACGTTTCCAAACATCTTCACATTCTTATCGCTGAGACTGCTTTCGGAGTAAGTTGAATCATGATGGCTGGTTAGGTAAACCTATTACCATTCAACTTCAAACATCCTTAAAACTGAAACGCAATGAAAAAGCACGGATGCCAAGCTATGGACAGTACAGCATCCCTTCGTACCGCGTCAGTTAGCATACCACTGATCAGCCTCCCTCGAGCGTGTTGGATGCGACGATCCCGCAATACGGGAAACCAATCGGAGCGAGGGCGAACGTTTCGCCAAATCTCGAGGGCCACATCACATGGCTGTCCAGCAGCCGCGACACGTCACACCGATTGCGGCGATTCGAGCACCAGCGGCTCCCGAGAGAACCACAATGCTCAACACATCCATTGTCGGGTCTGATCAGCCATACTTAAGGCATGTGCTTTCAGGTACTTGGCAAGCTTCAGCAGCACACTTTACCCACCGCAAGCTTTCAGTTCCCTTAAAGCAGACAGAAATGGCTGCCCTCGCTAACGCCGCTGTTGCTCCGTCCACCTTCGTCGGCCAGAGCGCTGAGCTCGCCGCCAAGGTGAACAATGTGGAGGCTCGCGTCTCCATGAGGAAGACCGCCAAGGCAGCTCCCGCCAGCTCCTTCTACGGCCCCGACCGCCCCCAGTTCCTGGGCCCCTTCTCCTCCCCCCCGTCTTACCTGACCGGCGAGTATGCCGGTGACTACGGGTGGGATACGGCGGGTCTGTCCGCCGACCCCGAGACGTTCGCGAAGAACCGCGAGCTGGAGGTGATCCACGCTCGGTGGGCTCTTCTCGGTGCCCTGGGCTGCCTGACCCCCGAGCTTCTGGCCGGCAACGGCGTGAACTTCGGCGAGGCCGTGTGGTTCAAGGCCGGCGCCCAGATCTTCTCGGAGGGCGGCCTTGACTACCTGGGCAACCCCAGCCTGATCCACGCCCAGTCCATCCTGGCCATCTGGGCGTGCCAGGTGATCCTGATGGGCGCCGTGGAGAGCTACCGCGTGGGTGGCCTTGAGGGCTTCCAGGAGGTCGAGGACCCCCTGTACCCCGGCGGTGCCTTCGACCCCCTGGGTCTGGCTGACGACCCCGATGCTCTCGCGGAGCTGAAGGTGAAGGAGCTGAAGAACGGCCGCCTCGCCATGGTGTCGATGTTCGGATTCTTCGTCCAGGCCATCGTGACCGGCAAGGGTCCCCTCGAGAACCTGTCCGACCACCTGGCTGACCCCACCGTGAACAACGCCTGGGCCTATGCCACCAACTTCACCCCCGGCCAGTAAATTGTTATGTATATTCTTACATTTATTCAATACGTAGGTTCTAAATAATCGTATCCGAAAGACTTTATAATCGATGGCTAAAGACCGCACGAAACGATGCTCTTCCAACTGACCTGACATATCCTGACACTTTGTCGAAGACGAACTGACATGTCTCCATTTTGAGAACGAGAGGTCGGCATGGCTGTTAGCCCTCGGCGAGCGAAAGGCGAGGAAAAAAATGGCCAGGGAAAAACTAATCTGACAATATGCCGCAGCAACCGTAAAGATAGCTTTCTGAAATAGAGCTAACGTTTTCATGTAGGAGATATTTGGTAAGGTGGAAAGAGCGACAGTGGCGACGAAAAAATCTGCGTCATCCTTTTCGTTTAATCGTTACTCCCACTGTCTTCGATACTTCTGTATGGCCTTAATTCTTGTGATTATGGAGCATTTTCCCTAACGGACAGAAAAGCTTACAGGAAGTCAGCATACAATAAAGAGACCTGAAAACGGAAGATATGTAGGTAACTTCTCCTGCCTGGTTTGTCACTCACAAGTTAGCATCCTACCTTCTACAAGATGATAGCAAGGTATGCACGGGCACACGGAAATTGAACGCTGGATAACGGATCTGGAAGCATTTAGTTTAAACAGAAATGGGTCAATTTCAGTAGATGCACGAGAAAATATGCAACGGTGAAGATATTTACGGAAAATATGCTTCGGGTTTGGAGAAACGATGTGAGTAGGAACTACGATGTGCGCTTCACTTAGTCTGCGTTTTGCAAGTAAAACTTTTTAGTTATTATGGTTGCTGTATTGCATATCGAACAATTGGAATTTCCAACTGGGTCAAAAATTGTCGAATGTTTGCTGGCAAAACCATCGTAAGAATTCATGGCAAAATTGTTTGGATTCTTATAATAAAATGGCAATTAACATTGTCATTTACTGGCCGGGGGTGAAGTTGGTGGCATAGGCCCAGGCGTTGTTCACGGTGGGGTCAGCCAGGTGGTCGGACAGGTTCTCGAGGGGACCCTTGCCGGTCACAATGGCCTGGACGAAGAATCCGAACATCGACACCATGGCGAGGCGGCCGTTCTTCAGCTCCTTCACCTTCAGCTCCGCGAGAGCATCGGGGTCGTCAGCCAGACCCAGGGGGTCGAAGGCACCGCCGGGGTACAGGGGGTCCTCGACCTCCTGGAAGCCCTCAAGGCCACCCACGCGGTAGCTCTCCACGGCGCCCATCAGGATCACCTGGCACGCCCAGATGGCCAGGATGGACTGGGCGTGGATCAGGCTGGGGTTGCCCAGGTAGTCAAGGCCGCCCTCCGAGAAGATCTGGGCGCCGGCCTTGAACCACACGGCCTCGCCGAAGTTCACGCCGTTGCCGGCCAGAAGCTCGGGGGTCAGGCAGCCCAGGGCACCGAGAAGAGCCCACCGAGCGTGGATCACCTCCAGCTCGCGGTTCTTCGCGAACGTCTCGGGGTCGGCGGACAGACCCGCCGTGTCCCACCCGTAGTCACCGGCATACTCGCCGGTCAGGTAAGACGGGGGGGAGGAGAAGGGGCCCAGGAACTGGGGGCGGTCGGGGCCGTAGAAGGAGCTGGCGGGAGCTGCCTTGGCGGTCTTCCTCATGGAGACGCGAGCCTCCACATTGTTCACCTTGGCGGCGAGCTCAGCGCTCTGGCCGACGAAGGTGGACGGAGCAACAGCAGCGTTGGCGAGGGCAGCCATTTCTGTCTGCTTGAAAGAGTGAGTAAATTGAATGAAAATTCGAAGTACTGCTGAAGCTCGAGGAACATTTGGCAAGGAGCGTGCTTGTATACTGACCTTCTGAGGGCCTGACAAGCCTCACCCTGCGACCAGCCTGCGTGACCAGGCTCCTGACCAGGCTGTTGGAGGAGGTTCGCAGTGCTGACCAGGCGCTCGCCGCAATCAGGAGGTTGTGGCAATTCGTCCAGCGTCCCATCCTTAGGATCTGGCTCGACACCCAACCTCTTCGCGATTGGCACAATATCTTGTGGGCCTGTGTGAAGTCTACACGTGTGAAGTCGGACGATGAATTCAGTCCACCCAAAGCGTGATAACCCTTTCAGCGTCAGATTCGAACACAATAAGGTGTCTTTTGCCTCAAACTATAAGATTAGATGGTGAACCTATTGATATTTCTTTATGGGTTCATTTCTCTATAAAGCATGTGTAGAAAACTCGATCTCAAAGCGTCAAGCGAGTGAATTGAAATACGTGCGAAATACTATGAATATCGTAAGTGGGATAAGTGTTTGTCTTGGGTGCCTAATTTTCCTTGACAATTCCACCAGGTAATCCTTTGTGTTTCGGCCTATCCATCCTTGATGATATCTTGATCATATTCCTGAGCTTATTTTGCAAGGGTTCATAGGAATCAGATTATTTGAACATTGTCTATCCCTAAAGGAATATGCATTTGGATTTGCTTGAACTATTTGTAATGTGTAACAGAGTACACCCACTGGGGTTTTTGCGCGGGGTAAGCCATTTCCCGCCCTTCACATACTTCGTGCCGCCTTGCCCAGGTTTGTTTGCGTGGCTCTGGCAGGATGTCCCGGGCTCCAGGGCGAGCAGTTGGGGAATGCATCACTGCAAGAACGCAGAGGACAGTCTCGAGGCGCATGCGACCTCTCTTATCGGCGACGCGGTGGTCAATTCTGTCTGACGCTGGTAATTGTCCATGCGCACCCCCCATCCATCCCAATCTCCTACATATCTGTTTGTTACCCAACGTTACCAGACTCAACCCCGACATCTATTCCGATCCCGCACACCGTGAGCACAAGGCCAGCACCTAGGCATCTGTGGAGCTTTGCTCCACCCGGAATCCTCTTGAGCCACTCCGCGGCTTCAAGAACTTTTTCCTCTCAACCCTGCCAGCATGCAGGTCTCTGCGTGTGCCTGATAGTTCTGCTGTTGCGGTTATGTTGTCCAGCGTAGCAAGGTAGAGTAGCGAATGTTGGAGCATCTTTAGTTGAGAATTCACGCCATGGACCGGCACGCGCTATGGCTGGCGGTGGTCCTACGAGCCGTCCTCATCCTGTGCCGCAATGTGCTCCCGTCCGCCTCGCTTGAGCTGTCCGGTGCTCAGCGCGGCATGCGATTCGTTCGCCTGAACCAGACCAACGTGTACAATGGAAAATGCCTCGACGGAAGGTACTTAAAAAACGACCGAGGTCTAGATCACTTCAGATCAAGGCATCCCAGCAGGAGAGTGTAGATGGTCGGCGCTGCACCATTCTCAGCATGAGCAGTCGGAGGGCTACTGAACCGTTGGAGTCCGTCGCCCAGTCTGTTGATCCGCTGGTTGCGCGACGAGCGCGAGTAGCGTAATCGATGACTAACCCCTTCGTCCGCGCGACGGAACTGCGACATGGACTGACCTAACCCCCTCTTCTCCCATCTCATCATCGGTCCTCCCCCCCCTCACTCCTTTCCCCCCCCCCGACCCCTCTCCCCACCCCCTCCTCTCCCCCTCCACGATCGCGCTCGGCGCGCAGCGAGCCGGGGTATTACATCCGCACGGGCAACAGGGAGGGCGCGCACAACTGGGTCGTGCACCTCATGGTATGACGGCGTGCACCTCATGGTATGACGGCGTAACCTCATGGTATGACGGCGTGCACCTCATGGTATGACGGCGTGCACCTCATGGTATGACGGCGTGCACCTCATGGTATGACGGCGTGCACCTCATGGTATGACGGCGTAACCTCATGGTATGACGGCGTGCACCTCATGGTATGACGGCGTAACCTCATGGTATGACGGCGTGCACCTCATGGCATGACGGCGTGCACCTCATGGTATGACGGCGTAACCTCATGGTAGACTGACGTCACCGCCTCGTCTCTGTCCACTCCCATGCGTCCAACCGCATCTCGCTTTCGTCTGATTTCGCCTCCTTGCGCCGCATTTGATCCATTTGTCACTCACCGCCTCCGTCCCTCCGTCCCTCCCGCGCGCGGCAGGGCGGCAGCTGGTGCACGTCGCGCAGTCAATGCGTCGTGCGCGCGCACACCAGCCTCGGCTCCACGCAGCCCTGGCCGGAGCCGGGCTCCCGAAGCTTCTTCGCAAAAGTAAGCTCCAATACACTTGCAACCCTTTGAAATGAAATCGTGAGGGGTTGATTTCGAATGACGGCGTGCGCGCGGCGGTGGTGTGCGCATGCGCAGATGAACGCGTTCGGCGCGGGGTTCACGGGCATTCTGAGCCGCAAGGGGCGCGAGAACCCCACCTTCAACGACTGGAACGCCGTGCTCGTTGTCTACTGCGACGGCGGCCTCTACGCCGGCTCGCGCGGCGCATTCGCCGCCAACCTGAGCTCGCCCTTGTTCCTCCAAGGCCACGCCGCGCTCGCCAGCGTCATTCACGGTATGCGGAGATAATCTTTCCACTCCCGAACGATCCGTAGTCGCGGTGCCTGACGGAGACTAACCGACCTCCCCCGCCTGTCCGCCATCCGCGCCGTTGCCCGCCCCGCCGTCCCCCATCTCCGCGCAGACCTGAAGATGCACGGGCTGGGCGCGGCGCGCAACGTGCTGTTCAGCGGATGCTCCGCGGGCGCGCAGGCCGTGGCGATGACGTGCGACGCCATGGCGCGCGCGCTGCCGTCCGCGACGGTGAAATGCCTCATGGACGCGGGGTTCTTCCTCGGTGAGCCACGCCCCTCTCCCGTTCCTTCGTCCGTCGTTGCTCCCTTAACCCTGTTCCTCCTCCCCTCTCTCTCGCCCTGCTGGCGGTAGCAGTCAGGCAACTTCCATCCCAACCCATTGCTCATTGCCCATCCCACCCCATTGCTCATTGCCCATCCCACCCCATTGCTCATTGCCCATCCCACCCCATTGCTCATTGCCCATCCCACCCCATTGCTCATTGCCCATCCCACCCCATTGCTCATTGCCCATCCCACCCCATTGCTCATTGCCCATCCCACCCCATTGCTCATTGCCCATCCCACCCCATTGCTCATTGCCCATCCCACCCCATTGCTCATTGCCCATCCCACCCCATTGCTCATTGCCCATCCCACCCCATTGCTCATTGCCCATCCCACCCCATTGCTCATTGCCCATCCCACCCCATTGCTCATTGCCCATCCCACCCATGCCACCCCACGCCTCAGACACGCCGGACATCCACGGGCGGCTGACGTGGCGGGAGAGCGTGCAGCGGCTGTTCAAGTTCCACCGCATGGGCGCCGGCATCCACCCCGCGTGCCAACGAGGTGAGCATGGGCGCCGGCATCCACCCCGCGTGCCAAAGAGGTGAGCGTACCTGCTAGCATGATCCACAGCAGCTATCACATGATGGCATGTCCATCCCACCATCACATGATGGCATGTCCATCCCACCATCACATGATGTTCTCGTCCCTCTAACCCCAAACACAGCTCTCCCCCCCCCCCCCCCGCCCCTCAGCACACTTGAAGCAGCCGTGGAAGTGTCTTCTGCCGCAGTACAACCTGCCGTTCGTGCGCACGCCCGTGTTCGTGGTCAACAGCCTGCAGGACGAGATCGCCGTGAAGATGACCTTCTCCTCGCCGCTCATCGACGGCACCGTGCGCATCCAAAAATGCATGGACCGCAGCCCGCTCTGCCCGCTGCAGTATAGAACAGCCCTGCAGCTCTACCAGGCGCGCCTGCTGCGCTCCGTGCTGGCCATTCAGCGCGCCAAGCGGCGGCAGGGCGTGTGGTTCGAGTCGTTCCTGATGAACTCGTCGGCGCACTGCACGGCGGTGTACGGCGACTGGGTGGGGCGCGTGGACGTGCTGGGCCGGCAGCTGCCGCGCGTGCTGGAGGACTGGTTCTTCCATGGCCGCCCGCAGGCCGCAACGTTGCCAGGCAGGCCGCATGGGGGAGGGTTCAACACGAGTGGGGGTGGTACGGGGCGGAATGGCAGCTCAAGGGGAGGCGGTAGGCCAGCAAGGCAGCCGGGCGGCAAGGCGGGGCCGGCAGGGGGGAGGCCGCGGGCGAAGGCCCCTGGCGTGCAGGCGGGCAGTGCCGTGGCGGTGAAGCGGGCGGGCCAGGGGGGGGGAGTGCAGAAGCTGGGGGAGGGGCCGGGGAAGAGCCCAGGGAAGGGGCCGGTGAAGAGGGCTGGGAAGGGGCCTGGGGCGGGTGCAGGAAAGGCGGGCGGAGGGCAAAGAGGGGCGCTGTGGCCCGGACTGAAGCGGCTGCGAGACAAGGGGCGTGGGGGGCTGGTGAAAACGAGCAGCGAGGAGCGGATGGGTGGGGGGTCGGCCGGTGGGACGGAGGGAAGAGCTGGGGAGAAAAGGAAGGGTGAAGGGAAGAGTGGGAGGAAGGGAAGAGGAAAGGGTGGGAGGAAAGGCAAAGGAAAGGGTGGGAGGAAGGGAAGAGGGAAGAAACATGGTCGGAAAGGGAGCAGGCAACAGAGCGGAGCAGTGGGTGCAGGACCGAAAGAGAGGATGCCGACGGAGGAATGATTGGAGGAAGTAGGCGAGGTGAACAGGACTAGGGGATGCCAGCAGGAGCGAATGTGAGGCGCCCTTGAGCAACTCATTGACTTGCTTTTAATACCGTCCTCGCCACTTGCTCCCAATGGAGCAGTGGCAGCTCTTGACAGACAGTCCCCCACGCATTGGGGTTGAGGAGCTTTGGGTTGAAAGCTACTGCCCAGTAGGCATGTGTCTCTGTGCCTCATTTGTATGTATATGAAATCCTTCGTATTAGCAGAAAGCCCTGCCAAGCAGGGCAAATACAACCACTGGCGAGGCCAGACACAGTGCACCCTACACTGTGCCTGCTCTCGCATCCTTCCCTTCCCAGGCCGTGCACCTCCACTCTCCATTGTAATCGCACCGCACATTTCTCACAGGGTTATTATCAGGATACTGCTGCTACCACCCCTGCATGCGGTGGCAGCAGCAGCAGCAGTGGAACAGGGGGGGGGCAGCTGCTTGTGTTCACAGCACCTATGAACACTAGGTTCCAGCAGCCGGGGCGGCAGCAGCAGCAGGGAGAGTGGCGTGGATAGTCTTGTAGCAGTGCAGGGAGCAGAGGGGCAGGTGGGTCTGGGAGTCGCGGTAGCGGAAGGGGTTGCGACACCCCGCTGCTGCACACAGGGAACGAAGGGGGGGCCTGGGGGAGATGGGAGAGAGGGGGGGAAAGGGGGAAGGGGATGGGGGACGATGGCAGAGGTAGGGGGAGAAAAGGAGGCTGGAAGGTGAATGCGGGAGTATGGGAAGGGGGCAAAATGATGGTGAGGAACCAAGATGGCAGGGCGCATGGGGATGGCAGGGCGCATGGGGATGGCAGCAGGCAGAACAGGAGAGAGGTGGAGCAGCTTGGCAGCGCAGATGGTTAGGGGGGAGAGGGAGTGGCACGGCATGCTTACTTAGGCAGTGGCGGCTGGGCGACGAACATGACGGGCTGCTCTGAGTCAGGCGACCACGCCACCGTCACCCCCCCTGCTGTGAACCGCATCCGCACGAAGCCAGGTGGCGGCACCTGACTGGCTGCTAGCCGCTCCTGCATTCCACACATGCACACATGCACAGATGTGAGGGACAGACAGAAGCGGTAGCCCCCCAGTGTCACAAGTCCACACTCCCACACTGCCATATGTCTCCAATCCTCCCCCAAACCCCTTACCCCGCTCACTTTCTCCCCTACAACTCCTTTCAGCGCCCCATTCCTCTCCACGCACGCCTTCTCCCTGTCTTCCCTTCCGTCCCCCTCCCCTCCTCCCCCCCCTCTTCCCAACTGACCTCGGCCTCCTCCTGCCGCTTCTTCTGAATCTTCTGCTCCCGCCGCTTCCTCGACCCGTCCTGCCCCAGAATCTTCTGGATAGCATTCTCCTGGACGGCGCGTGCCGCCCGCTCCGACTGCTGCTTGCGGCGCCGGGCGGCCTCCTCACGCTTCAGCTGCCGCGCTGCCTCCACCTCTGCCGCCGCCCGCGCAGCCTGGTCGGCGGAGGAGGGGGAGGAGGGCGCCGGCAGCTTCATGCTGCGCCGACTGCGCCGTGGGGCTGGGGGGACGGAGGGGCGGGGGAACGGATGGGTGAGAGGGTGGCGGAACGGAGGGGTGAGGGGTGGAGAACGGGGGGAGGGAGGAGGAGCGACGAGGGGGAAGTGAGGGCAAAGGGGCTGGTGGGAAATCCAGCAGACAAGGGGGCAGGTGAAGGAGAAGAGAGAGAAGCATGCACACTTTGGCTGTGCGATCACCTTGTAGCGAGTCACCTTGTAGCGAGTCACCTTGTAGCGAGTCACCTTGTAGCGAGTCACCTTGTGAGGGGTCCAAGGCGAATTGAGGGTGAGCTGCAGTGTCCCGTGGGCTCTCCTTCCCCACTGCTGCTGCTGCAGCCGACCCCTCCCCCAGCTCCGACCCCCCACTCTCATACACCACGTCCCCCTCCCCCTCCTCCCCCTCCCCCTCGTCTAATTCCCCCACACTCTTCCCATCCCTCTCTCCCTCCTCCTCCTCCTCCTCCTCTTCCTCCTCCACCTCTGCCCCCTCTTCCTCCTCCTCTACCTCCTCCTCCCTCTCCTCCACATCCTCCTCCCCCCTCACCTCCTCGCCCTCCTCTCCATCTTCCACCACCTGCACGCCCTCCTCCCCACCTCCACTCTCCTCCTCGCCCTCCCTCTCCCCCTCGCCGCCCTCCCCCCTCTCCTCCTCCTTCAACTCTACAATCTTTCGTCGCTTTCTCCTCGACCTCCCGTTCCCTCCCCTGACCTCTTCATCCTCCTCATCCTCCTCCTCCTCCTCTTCTACCTTCTCCTCCTCCCCCTCCCTCTCTTCCTCCTCCCCTCCCACCACACCCATTGCCCCTTCCCGTTCCGCTCCTCCAATCCCCTCCGCCTCCTCCTCCGCCTCTCTCCCCCTCTCCCCCCCAGCAGCAGCAGCGGACGACACGGCGCCACCCCCACCATCGCCGTCGCCATCCTCCTCCTCCTCGTCCGAGTTATCCTGTGGCCACGGGACGGACGGGGGGGGGGGTGGTGGGGTGGGTGCAGGGGGTTGTGAGAGCGGAAGTGGGAAGGCAGTAGGAGGTGGCGAGTGGGAGAGAGGGGAGGAGAGTGAGGTGGCAGCAGACGAGTCAGGAGAGAAAGCAGGATGCTGCAGGAGAGAAAGCAGGAGAGAAAGCAGGATGCTGCAGGAGAGAAAGCAGGAGAGAAAGCAGGATGCTGCAGGAGAGAAAGCAGGAGAGAAAGCAGGATGCTGCAGGAGAGAAAGCAGGATGCTGCAGGTGCGAGCAGCAAGGGATGCGAGGGACAAGAGGTGCGAGCAGCAGCAGGTGCGAGCAGCAGCATGACGGCAGCCCATGGCCATGCAGGCAGCCGCCCTCCCATGCTCCACCGCAGCTCACCTGCAGAATGAGTCGGTGCCGCCTCTTCCTCTCCCCACCTCCACTCTCCGCCCCCCCACCCGCCCCTCCCCCTGCTGCTGCCGCCCTCCCTTTGGAGTGCGCTGGGCCTGAGCGCGGCACCTTGAGCACTGCCGCGCCTTGGGGGACGAGGGGAGGGTGGAGGTGGAGGAGCGACAGCAAAGCGGATGGAGGGGTGGGCAATGCAAACTCGCAGAACGAAGCATCTGACAACACACCTGGAGAAGCCACCTGACTGCACACCTGGAGAAGCCACCTGACAGCACACCTGGAGAATCACCTGACAGCTCACCTGGAGAAGCCACCTGACAGCACACCTGGAGAATCACCTGACAGCTCACCTGGAGAAGCCACCTGACAGCACACCTGGAGAATCACCTGACAGCTCACCTGGAGAAGCCACCTGACAGCACACCTGGAGAAGCACCTGACAGCTCACCTGGAGAAGCCACCTGACAGCTCACCTGGAGAAGCACCTGCAAGCTCACCTGGAGAAGCACCTGACAGCTTCAGCCTCAGCTTGCGCAAGCCAGACTCCTGGGGCTCGCCTGCCGCCCCTTCCCCCCCTTTACCCCCAGATCCATCCGCTGCCTTCACCCCCACCCCATCCGCCCCTTTCTCCCCCGCCCCTTCCTCGCCCTTGCTCCCTGCCCCCTCTCCTCCCTTCCCCCCGCCCCCCTCGCCTCCTCTATCCCCGTCCCCGCCACCCGCGCTCCCCGGCTTCGCCTCCCACGTGCCCTCCCTCTCCTCCCGCCTCGCCCCCGCCCTCTCCCGCCGCCTCTCGCTGCGCTCGCCCTTGCCGCCCGTCAGCGCCTTTAGCGATTCCAGCCGCGCACTCCGCCTCTCCCGTTCCCGCTCGCGCTCCTCCCGCTCCTCGCGCTCCCTCTCCTCTCGCTCCTCCCTCTCCCGCTCTCTCTCCTCCCGCTCCCTCTCCCTATCCTTATCCCTATCTTTCTCCCTATCTTTCTCCCTATCCTTATCCCTATGCCTCTCCTTACTTCTGCCTTTCTCCCTGTCACGATCCTTATCTCTATCCCTATCCCTGTGCCTCTCCCCATCCCTCTCCTTGTCTCCCTCCCTTTCTCTCTCCCGCTCTCTCCGATCCTTCCCCTTATCCCTATCCCTATGTCTCTCCCTATCTCTCTCCCGATCCCTGTCCCTGTACCTCTCCCTATCTCTCTCTCTCTCCCCATCTCTATCCTTCCCTCTCTCCCTGCGGCCTTCTTTCTCCCCATCGCGCTCCCGATCCTTCCTTCTCTCCCTGTCGCTCCCGGACCTATCCCTTTCCCTCGGCCCGAACCTGTCTCCGTCCTTTTCCGACCCTCTGTCCCAATCCCTCTCCCGCTCCTTCCCCTCATCCCGCCTCCGCTTCCCCTCGCTCCGCCCATCCCGCCCTTTCCCGCGCTCCTCCCTTCCCCTCTCGCGCTCGTCGCCGCTCGACCCGCTCTCCGCAGAGTGCGCGGGGGAATGCTGGCGGTGGTGGTGGTGGTGGTGATGGTGATCGTGGTGGTGGTGCTGCCCGTGCCGCGACGATCGCCGCTCGTCGCCCCGGGTGCGTCGCGTCGCCTCGCGGCCCTCATCCGATTCCTCCATTTGTTACCTTCTCCTCTGCCGGCTCTCGTCCCAACGGCCTATGGACGACACGCTAAGCCGCGACCTCCGGCGACCCTGTCAAGCCGGCGCAGCAGCATGCGGCAATCTCAGGGTACGCGCATTGCCTCAATTCAGGGTGCTTTTCTTTCCTCCCATGCAACCCTGACTACTTTGTTCGAAGCGTAGGAGATCGACAAAGCGTTATATGAGTTTGAAGGCACAACTTCCGTGTTGAGATATATCAGCTGTGAACATCGCAAATCCTTTTAGCGGGAACAAACTGGGCGAAACCTCACCTTCGACGAAGGTTAGCGAAACGCAGGGAGACGACAGTACAATAATTATTTGTTAATATTGCCATTTCCGTCGACGGTTTTTACCTGGCGCAGAGATTATAAAGCTTCGAGTCATATTCGAACAGAGCAAGCTCCCAGATTGTTGGAATTTGCTCTGGTCGAGAGGGGTTGTGCGACGCAGGCATTTTTGCACTGAGTGAGTTGCGGCGCTGTATGTAGTGTACTGTACATGGTCGGTGCCCCTGTCGTATTCTGCAACAGCAAGCCGCATAATTTGTTGGTGCGACGTTACATGGGTTTGTTGCAAATCACATTACTTAAACCACTCAATATATTAGAAACAAGGGACACAAACACGAAACCCAAAAAATCCCTTCACTACTTCACTCGAAACAAGGTAAGCCCCCAATGTCACGCTGCATAACGGAAACTCCACATTACAACGGACACATTATACGCAGGAAATGCACATAGCATAATATTCAGTTACAATGGGCTCGTTTTGTCCACCTCAGATTTCCGTCTGCTCCTGATTCGGTTGGAATTGCCAATCTTGACGGATTTTGTCTAGGAATTACGACGTGCTGTGAATATTGTTGGAGTCCACCGATTGGATCCAGGGTGATGTTGGCGTCTATTGAGGATCATATGGATCATTTTTGTATCAATGCGTCGGGTGAGTGGTGTTGTGCGAGTAGTTCGGCTCGCCGACCACTGCATGCATTGTTGACCATATTTCTGCGAATAATCGCATATGCGACTTTTATTCAGTACTCGTATACAATTGCTCGAATACCGTTCAGGCTGCGTACGTGGGAGTTGTGCATACCGAATCATCGCCCGGTGTGAATGTTTGCCTTAGGGTTCGTTCCACTTGTCGAGTCTGACCTGCATACAGTCCGCTGCCTGAGAAACCCACATTCGACGGGACTCGCCGCAGAGTGATTTTACAAACTTGGCCCAAAAATCAGAATCTATCACGTGAGATTCAAACGAATACGTAGGTGTAACTATTGGCCGAATCCAAACGGCGAAACAGGGCGTGTCACCAAAAATCGTTTTTGGCAAAATACATACTAAACCGCTCTAAATGTTTATTTGACCGTTTCAGAACGCAAAACATCTTTGCGAACCGCAATCTGACGTACTTTAGTGACACGCCCAGGGCCTCTTCGTGCAGTAACGGACGCGGTTTGCAAAGCCCTGGCCTGGGGGTCAAAGGGGGCGGGTGGGTTTGTCGCGGCATGAGCGGTAGGTGGAGCCTCAGTGCTCGAAGTAACTGTGCTCGTTGTTACAACAGTGAACTTTCTTCGCCACTGCCGCCGCAACGCAAGCCATCCCTTCCCCCTTTCTCTCAAACCAGCCAAGGCAGGCCAACGCGCGCGCTGGTTGACTCGCATGCTCGCTGCGAGCACTTGAATATCGACAGAGTTGAAGGTGTGATGAGGATCAAGGCATGCACTCATTCGTACATCCACATCCTTCTCCCCGCATCTATCGCTGCGCCCAAGAGATCACCGAACTCGACCCTAAATGCCTCACCGGCTTTCACCAACAGCCCCTGCCGTTCCTTCCGAGTTCCGCTTCCTCCTCCGGCAAGTCGTCCTGCCGTCGTTACCCCGCACCGCCGGTAGCGCGCACATGAGGACGGCATCCGCATTCGCGGTGCTCCCCGTCCTCCTCCTCCTCCTCCATGCGGCCCTCCTCTCCCGCCACCTCGCATCGGCCGCCGTCGCCACAGACGGCCGTCGCACAATCATAGGCGACGCAAATGTCGCAGACAATTCGCACAGGCGACAACTAGAGGGCCCCTTGGTGTCGCACGGGCCGTACCACCGGCAGCTGTGGAACCCGTTCGGCGGGCTGTTCAAGAAGCCCGTCAAGAAGCCGCCGCCCAAGACGGGCGTCGGCAAGCAGGCCGGTGAGTGCGCACCCGTGAAATCCGCCGACCGTCCTTACCGCAGCCTGCCTCCGTGCGCGTGCACCGCTGCGCCGCACCCATTCCATCCTTCCGCCACATGCCCCCCTTCCCCCCGTCTCTCCCTATTCCCCCCTTAACCGCGCCTCGTCCCACAATCCCATCGTGGAATTCCCGCCGCTGATTTCCAGCGGGCCTCACCCCCTCCTTCCCCTTCGTCCCCCTCCCCGTCGATCCGCCATTCCCCATCCCGCCTGCGCCAGCCGCCGTGGCGTGCGAGGGCGTGCAGTGTCCGCAGGGCGCGACGTGCGAGGCGGACGGCAGCGGCTTCCCCTTCTGCAAGTGCGACGGGGGCCTCGCGCTCATCAACGGCTCGTGTGTGACAGGTGAGATTAACGGGCGTTCGGGCGCGATTTCTGCTGTGTGCTCATTCCAGCCACTGCGGCTCGATCTCCCAATTCTCTCCTTTTTCCCCGTGTCCGTCTCGTCCTGCTCCCCATCCCCCCCACATGCCTACCCATCTTCTCGCCCCCCTCCTCCCCCCCCATCCCCACATCCCTTTCCCCCCGCCAGCCGTGGACGGGCAGGCGGTGGCGACGAGCCTCGTGCTGTACGCGCAAGAGGGCTTCGTCCCCGCGCCCCCCGCCGTGCTGCGCGGGGCCATCCCCAACCGCACGTGCGTCAACCTGCCCGCGTCGCACGCGGGCGCCATCGGGTCGCTGCGCATCCTGTGGGGCGTGAAGGATGGCAGCGCGGCGCCCGGCCGCGCCGTGTGTGGCAAGGTGTTCTTCTGGGACCAGCCCGACTGCTGCTGCTCCGGGTCCGGGTGGGAGATCCCGGGGGGATGGAAGGCCGCCAACGCCGCCAAGCTCAACTACGCGCCCACCAGCATCCAGTGAGCGGCTTGCCTTCTTGCCTTCTTGCCTTCCCTTCCCATGCTCGCTCACTGCACGCTGCCTACCTTCCCCGGTTCCTGCTCCCCCTAGGATGCAGAGCAGTGGTTGTATGAAGCACTTGCCCGCATTGGGATGAGAGGCCCTCTCTCACATTCCTCACATGCCTCACATGCCTCCCATGCCTCCCATGCCTCCCATGCCTCCCATGCCTCCCATGCCTCACATGCCTCACATGCCTCACATCTTCTCTCTCACATGCCTCACACCTTGCCTCGCCATGGCCTCACACTCCAACTCCCACGCGCACCTGCTGCCACGTTCGTCACCTTCTCTCTTCCTACTCCCCCTCTGCCCCTCTGCCCCTCTGCCCCCCCCCCACTTATCAGGGTGACGTCAGGCGTGGTGGCGGCGGCGCAGTCCATGTCGTGTCAGGCCGCCGCTGACCCCGCTGCCGCCACGCAGCCCGGCACTGGCGTGGCCACGGGCAGCACGGGCAGCACGGGCAGCACTGGCGGCACGAGTGGCGGCAGCAGCAGTGGGCCGTGTGCGGCGACGGTGTGTCCAGCGAACTCCGTGTGTGCGGCGCAGGGCACTGGCGCCACGTGCAACTGCGTGGTGGGGTACTCCAAGGTCGACGGCCTGTGCCAGGGTGAGACGCAAGGGAGCATTGCTGCTGTTGCACCTTTGAGCTTTGTTCCTCCTTGCCTCCCCTCTTCTCACTCCCTCCTCTCAAACCTCCTCTTCTCCCCACTCATGCACAAAGCAGATGTTCTAATTCCCTCTTCCCTCTTCCCTCTTCCCTCTCAACCCTGCCCTTCCTGCCCACCGTCTCCCCTCTGCTTCCCCCCCTGCCAGCAATAGACATCTGTTCTCTCGTCGCGTGCCCCGCCACCTGCACCTGCTCCTCGACCAATGGCATTGCCAAGTGCTCCTGCCCAGGTGATTACAACTCTGCTCGGGTGCTTGCAGCATCGCTCAGGTGGTGGCAAGAGTGCTCATATGGTTGCAACGTTGCCCAGGCGTGAACGTCTTTTCCGCAGGTCAGGCGACTGCCTCTAGCTCACTGTCGCCCCACATCCTCTCCCCCCCCCCCTTCAGACGCATGCTATGGCATCAAGTGCCCAGACGTGTCCACCTGTGTGGTGCAGAGCGGTACCCCGGTGTGCAAGTGCCCTGCGCCCTTCGTGCGCCTCATCGACGGCAAGTGCTCGTCCGCCGCGCTGCTCCACTCCGACTACCTCGATGTGCACAACGCCGCGCGTGCCGCAGTGGGCGCCGTGCCACTCGTGTGGGACGACGCAGTGGCGGCGCACGCGCAGGCGTGGGCGACTACGCTCACCAACAGCACGTACAACTGCGGCCTCTCTCACGGCGGCAACCCGGGCGAGGGGCAGAACCTGTCGGGGGCCAGCCCGTCGGGGTGGGCGACGCCCAGCGATGCGGCGCGGTGGTGGGTAAACGAGGGGCAGTGGTACTCGCCGGCCGTCTTTCCTGATGGCTGCGAGGGCGGCAGCTGGTGCAAGTGCGGGCACTACACGCAGGTGGTGTGGAACAGCACGCGCAAGGTGGGGTGCGGCAAGGCATCGTGCGGCACGGCGGGGGACGTGTGGGCGTGCAACTACTACCCGCCCGGCAACTACATGGGCCAGATGCCCTATGGTAATTGCTCCCCCCTATGGTGATTGCTCCCCCCTATGGTGATTGCTCCCCCCTATGGTGATTGCTCTCCCCTATGGTGATTGCTCTCCCCTATGGTGATTGCTCTCCCCTATGGTGATTGCTCTCCCCTATGGTGATTGCTCTCCCCTATGGTGATTGCTCTCCCCTATGGTGATTGCTCTCCCCTATGGTGATTGCTCTCCCCTATGGTGATTGCTCTCCCCTATGGTGATTGCTCTCCCCTATGGTGATTGCTCTTCCCTATGGTGATTTCTCTCGCCTTCCCATCACACCCACCAAGGATTCAACGGTAACCCGCATGCTCTGTGTAACACTCCATGGCGCCGCGTGTTGTGTTTGCCTGTTGCTGCCACCACATTGCATTTCCCACTGCCTTGTTCAAGCCGCCGCCTCCCGTTCCTCCCCAAGCACCCCTCCACCAGCTCGTGCCTGCCCCACCATTCGCCTTCCCTCTCTCGCCCCTCTAATTCACCCCTCCCCTCCCTTTCCCTCCCCACCCGCCTCCCCTCCCTGCAGTGCCAGACCCTTGCTTCCGTGTGCTGTGCCCTTCCACCGCCACGTGCTCTGCTGTCAATGGGCAGCCCACCTGCGTGTGTGCGCCCGGCCAAGTGCTTGTGAACAACGCGCAGTGCCAAACCGGTAATGCATGGCTCATGGACCACACACCAGCACCGCATGGCTCATGGACCACACACCAGCACCGCATGGCACCATCCACACACCAGCACCGCATGGCGCCATCCACACACCAGCAGCGCATGGCACCATCCACACACCAGCACCGCATGGCACCATCCACACACCAGCACCGCATGGCACCATCCACACACCAGCACCGCATGGCACCATCCACACACCGTCACACGTGACAATCAATGCACACATGCGCACTTACGGGATTCTCACTCCCACAACCGTCGTCAGTCCCTTGCTTGCCGTATCACTTGCCAATCCGCACGGCAAGCTTATGGCCTCCTAATGCCCTCCTGCCCTGCCACTCTCCCCTCTCCCCCTCTCAGACCCCTGCAAGGGCGTGAGCTGTCCAGCGGGCGACCTGGTGTGCGACGGCAGCACGGGCACGGCGCAGTGCGTGTGCCCTAAGGGTCTGCTGCTCGTGGCGCCCAACACGTGCCTGGGTCAGTGTGCTATGCCCACCACTAGCCACCCCTGCTTGCCTTCCATGCGCCTCTTGCACCCACCCCCTGCTGTTTCGCCCTTCCTTCTTTCCTTGGCCTCATTCCACTTTCACCATCCTCACACTCTTCTCCCCTCGTCACGCCCTGTCGCCCCCCCTGCAGCGCCCTCATGTGTGGGGGTGGACTGCCCCTCCACGGCTCGCTGCAGAGCCAGCAGCGGCGGCATCCCCTTCTGTGCCTGCCCCGCCTCCTCCTCCCTTGTTAACGCCTCCTGCATTCAAGGTACTCGTTACTGCCACAATCATTACGAAAATGCTGCACTATCCTGTGTGCTCGTTGAGCATCTCTGCCTTCCAAACCTCGCCCACCAATCCACTCTTCTCTTCTCCACATTCCCTCCCCCGCACCTCCCTTCCCTCCCCCCCCAGCGGCCCCTGCGACGGTGGCGTCGAGCGTCACGCTCTTCAACGCGCCTTCCTTCGCCAACTCGCCCGCCTCCCTCGCGCCCATTGTGCTGCGCGCACCCACGCCCGGCGCCGGCTGTGTGAACATCCCCGCGGCGGTGGCGGGGGCGGTGGGGTCGCTGCAGATCCTGTGGGATGCGCCCGACGGGGCAGCGGGTACGCGGCAGGTGTGCCGCCTCATGTGGTTCTGGAACGGCGCCAACTGCTACGGCCACGCCACCGGGTGGGGGCGACCCACCAGCAACGTCACCACCGCTGCGTGAGTGCCCACAGGCTGCACTGCTGCCCATGCCGTGCCCCTACCCCTTTCCTTGTGCTTTGCCCTATTGAAAGGTACTCCGTAACTTAGTAATTGCATTCCGTTACTTCAATATGCCCTGCATAAACACCCGAGACTGTCCTTCTGACTGCTGTTTATGTCGTGTGCCTGTCCTGACACGCCGCAGGAGCACGAGTGGCGATGTGGCGGCATTGCGAGCTATAAGCTGTGCGGCGTGAGGGAAGGGAGGAGAGCGCCTTCTCGGCATGCAGTCATGTAGCTAATGGGACGGCTCCTTGTGTGATACCAACTTGCCTTGTATTTTGTTTGTAATGTACGGTATTGCTTGTTGGAAATAAGGGCGTGTTCATGCTCTGCTCGTTAGACGCACACAGTACTATACGTACATAACATATGCAAGTTGGTTCAACTCGGTTCATTATGGGGCAATCCATGTTTAGTAAGAGGCCAGGGTCGTAAAAGCATGCCCCAGAGGGACATGCTTGGCACCTATGCAAGTACCAATACTCAACCAGCATTAATTGGGGCATGACTACCTTTACAATGACGTCCAGGTTTTGACTCGAACGTGTATAGCGACACTTTCCTTAGCGAGGATAATGCTGTGCCAGCCCATTTCCCCCCCAAGCCAAGAAGCAGACAGCAGCATTTGCGAGCTACAGAATTCGTTACATTCCCAAGGGTGAGGCATCAGCGTCGCGGGGACCGTGCGAGACAAGCGATGCTTCTGACGGGCCTGGCATTCAATTCGCGACATTGGTGTGGTGGCTGGCTGCGCGTCCACCACTCATCTTGTCATCCCCTTGTCCACCCCCCATCCGTTTCCGAGAACCGTGCGTCTTGTTGTGCTCGCGCCGCAATTTCTAGGGCAGCACTGCTAGCCATGCTGCCATGTTCCCACACGCGCAGAATGTTTCGCTGGGAAGAGAACATCCCAATCCAACGACTTCCCGCTACTGTTGTTGCCATGCTTGAGGGTGATTCCGGAGTGAGTGTCAGACCTGAGGTCGACCCGCGGCCGAAGGAGCCGCGGGCTGTCACAACTTAACTGCGAGTTTGTTTATTCTTGACGGTTCAGCGGCTGTACAGTCGCAAAATGTCGCAAGGAGAGGGTTGTGACTGTACTGGCCGAGCTTCGCGAGTCCACCGGAAATTAGCTAGTTTGTGATTGGTGAAAATTCATTTGGGCGACATTGTTAGTTGTTCGGTTTGACAGCTGACTGGCTGGAGCCGCTCGTAAGACCCGAGGCAGTTTTTTCCAGCTTCGGATCTTCCTGCTAAACCCTGGGGTCTAACCCTCGCTGAAGAATTCTCCCTAAATGTATGCAGGTCCGTGTCTCCTGCCGGGCGCAGCTTTCGAGTTTTCCCACAGCCAGCCCCCCAATGTCGTTCAGTTGAGTCCCACACCCCACTGCTAAGCGTGTCTCAAAAAGCCGATGATCAAAGAGCACCAAGCACCATGTGCCAGTGGGAAGTGGAATATACTGTATCCTGGCAGCAATTAGTTTACGGCTGCATCGAGTTGTACAGCACCAGTGAACGCGTCTCAAGTTCCACCCACCCGTTACCGTACAGTGCGCAGGTACAAGACTGTACTGTAAGCGCAGAGAGCTCAACAACCCCAGTGCAGTGAGCGAGCAAGCACAAGGCTGTCTGTTGGTCTGACCTGGCCGTTAGCAACGAATCTGGACTGCGATGCATGTCCCTGAGAAACCACTTATCCACGACACGATTCCACACTCTCCCATCGTACAGCATACATTTGTTGTGCCAGTCGCACACCACAACCGCATCAGTGAGTCCATTTCAGCAACTCCAGTTTCTGCTGCTCTGAGAAAAGTCCCTTGGTCCTGCCTACAACTTCGTCTCCAGCTCTCGCTACTGTGACCAGAGCAGCCGCAAACTCCCAGGCCCCTCCTTAACGACTTCAATCGCATCGCGTTCGATAAAGAACCGGCAGAATGAGGGCCGTCGCGATCATACTGCTGCTGCACGCGTGTCTGTCGTCGCATCGCCTCGTCGCGGGCCGCATTTCGCCTCTCGCCGAGGCGGACGGCGCCAGCACCCGCCGCCTGCTGCCAGGTCAGTGCGCCGCACATAGCGGGCTCGCACTCGAGTCTTCAGGCTCTGGGTGCCACATTGGTGCTGCGGTCGCACGCAGCCGCCGCTCGTTTGACTGCAGTGCTAGAGGGGGGGAGCAGCGAAGATTGGCCCCCCCCTTGAAATGTCGGATCATCGCACACCGTCGTCGAGCATTTGTCGTCCGTACCGTTTAGTCGCACCCATTTCAATCTCAATTGCTCCCCTGCTGTCCCACCCCACTCCCCCACCCGCCCATGCCCTCTCCCCTCCTCCAGCGGCCACGTGTCCCGCGGGCGTCGTGTGCCCGTCGGGCGCGTCGTGCGTGGTTGACGGCAACGGCTTCCCCTTCTGCAAGTGCGCGGCGGGGCAGGCGATCATCAATGGCGTGTGCGCGCCGGCCGCCAGCTGGAAGGAGGTCGGCACCAACGTCGTGCTCTACAACAGCGCCTCGTACGCCAACTCGCCCACCACGCTCGCGCCCGCCGTGCTGCGCGGCGCGGCGCCCAACAGCAGCTCGTGCGTGAACCTGCCGGCGTCGTTCAACGGCACGGTGGGGTCGCTGCGGATCATGTGGAACGTGAACGATGGCGTGGCGGACCACCTGCTGTGCGGCAAGCTCTTCTTCTGGAACCAGCCCAACTGCTGCTGCTCCGGCTCCGGCTACCAGATTCCCGGCGGGTGGAGCGCCGCCAACCCTAACAACTTCTCCTACGCCACTACCAGCATCAAGTGAGCCCTCACGCGCCCCACGCTCCCCACGCCCCCCACGCCCCCCACGGCTGGCGCTGGCAATCTGTACTCGTTTCATAAACGCGACGTAATAGCCGTTTGCATTGCACGCTTCTGTGCGCTCACTGCGCTGCCCGTGTTGGCTGCGCGCAGGACGATCACCGCCGGCAGCATCATCGCCACCGCCCGCTCCATCTCGTGCCAGGCCGCCATCGCGCCGCCAGCCCCCGACCCGTGCACCGGGTACTCGTGTCCGGCCAACTCAGCGTGCTCCAACGTGAATGGCGTCGCCACGTGCTCATGCAATTCCGGCTACCAGATGGTCAACGGGCAGTGCGTGGGTGAGTGACCCCCTCTCACCCTCACTCCCTCTCCACACATGCTTCTTCCCTCCATTCCCCCATTAAGTCGTGATTCTCGTCCCCTCCCCCCCCCCACCCCCGCCAGTGCCCAACCCCTGCACCGGCTACACGTGCCCCGCCAACTCAGCATGCTCCAACGTGAATGGCGTCGCCACGTGCACGTGCAATTCCGGCTACCAGATGGTCAACGGGCAGTGCGTGGGTGAGTGGTCTCCACTATCTCCCCCTCTTCCTCTCTGTTTCTCCCATTCCCCCCTTCCCCCACCTTCCGCCCACGGCCCGTTAGAACACCACTTGGTGGATCCGCCCATGGCCCGTTCTTTCCTTGGATGGCACGGCTGCTCTCGGCTAAGGCACTCACTGCGTGTTCCTTCTGTCCCTCATCCCCCCCACTCCAGTGCCCGATCCCTGCACCGGGTACACCTGCCCCGCCAACTCAGCATGCTCCAATGTGAACGGCGTCGCCACGTGCACGTGCAGTGCGGGCTACCAGATGGTCAACGGCCAGTGCGTGGGTGAGTGCTGGCTGCGGTGGTGGCTCGCTGCGTGCTGAGGGGCTTGCGAGCGACGCAACTTCATCATGTCCCAATCACTGCAAAGTCAAGGACTCCATTCCCGCTCACTCCTCTCCTCTCCCACTGCTCTAAACCCGCGTATCCAATCTCCACCTTGCACCTTCACTGCTGCTGCCTACTCTGCCCCTGCCCAGTGCCCGACCCCTGTGCGACGGCCAACTGTCCGCTCAACTCGGTGTGCTCCAACGTCAACGGCGTCGCCACGTGCACGTGCTCCGCGGGCTTCGAGATGGTCAACGGCCAGTGCGCCGGTACGCGCGCCTGTTCCTTGCTCCGTCCTCGCACTTCTGGCCCCTTCACGCCCCGCATTCGCTCCATCACCCCCCCTTTCCCTCCCCGCATTGACCCTCCCCGCTTGTCCGTCCCTTCCCTCCCTCCCTGCCTGCCTCCGCCCCCTTCACTGCCTCATGCGCCTTGCTCCTTCCTTCCTAATCCTTTCACCCATCCCCCCCCCCCCTCCAAAACTCCGCCCTCCAGCCCTTCCCGCTGTGGACCCCTGTGCGACCACCACGTGTCCGCCCAACGCCACGTGCTCCGTGGTGAGCGGCGCGGCGCAGTGCGCGTGCGCGGCGGGCTTGCAGATGATCAACGGCCAGTGCCAAGGTGCTTCCTCCCGCCGCTTCCGCTTCCCTTCCCCATCGCCTTGCGCTCTCGTGTTGAAACCCTCTCCTTTTCCCTCCCTTGCCCTCTACGACTCGCGCTCATCCCTGCACTGCTGCCTTCTCCCCCCATACCTGCCCGCCCCTCCTTCCCCCCCCCCTCCAGTGCCCGACCCGTGTGCGGGGTTCACATGCCCGGCCAACTCAGCGTGCTCGGTTGTCAATGGCGCGGCCACATGCGTGTGCGCCGCGGGCTACCAGATGGTCAACGCGCAGTGCATCGGTGAGCCGCCCCTCCCGCTCTCCTTCTCCTCTTGCTATTCTCACTCTCGGTCGTTCCTCTCCATCTCTACTGCTTCCACGACCCCATTTTTCTTGGCTGAATATTCTTCTTTCTTCCCTTGCTCTCCACCATCCCCCCTCCCCCCCCCTCTCCTCCCTGAAACTCCAGTGCCCGACGCTTGCACCGGCTACACCTGCCCCGCCAACTCAGCATGCTCCGTTGTGAACGGCGCCGCCACGTGCACGTGCAACGCCGGCTACGAGATGGTCAACGGCCAGTGCGTGGGTGAGTGGTGCCCCCCTCCTCGCTCTCGCTCGCACCTCCTCCTCCAGTCCCGAGGGCACACACACACGGTTCACCGCCCTCCCCCTCCACTCACTTACCCCTCCACTGACTAACGCCTCCCACGCTTGCGTCTCTCTCCCCCCGTCTCCTCCTGCCGCCCGCTGTGACTGTGCGTGCAGTCCCTGACCCCTGCCTGAGCACCACGTGTCCCGCCAAGGCGACGTGCTCCGTGGTCAATGGGGCGGCCAAGTGCACGTGCGCCGCGGGCTACTCCCTCGTCAACGGCGCCTGCCAGCGTAAGCCCCGCTCCCTCACCCATTTGAACCCCTCGCCCTCGCTCCTTTCCACCTCTGCCTCCCCTCCACCTCCACCTCCACCTCCCCTCCACCTTGCTTCTCCACAGATGCGCGTTGCCTTCTCCCACATGCTGCTCTCTCCACGTCTTGCCTTATTGCCATGTCTCACTGCGCTAGCGCATCTCGCGCTCATCTCGCGCTCATGACTCCGCCTGCTTGCTCCTCCTCACCCCCCACGCCATCCTCCACTCTTTCCCCGCCCCATCACCTCCCTCCTCCCCCCACCAGCGGCGGATCCCTGCTCGCTGGTGACGTGTCCCGCCAGCTGCACGTGTTCCTCCGCCAATGGCGTCGCCAAGTGCGCCTGCGCCGGTCAGTGTCGCCCCCTCGCCCCCTGCCTGCACTTCTCGCACATTCTTGCCTCTTCTCGTCTAGCCCTGTCCTTTCCCTGCTTTCTCACCTCACCTCCCTTCGTCCCCCCCTTCCCCTTCCTTCCCCCCCTTTCTTGATGACAGACCTGTGCTACGGGGTGAAGTGCCCCGACCTGTCCACGTGCACGCTCCTGCTGGGCGCGCCCGTGTGCAAGTGCCCCGCGCCCTACACGCGCCTCATCGACAACAAGTGCACCACCGGTCAGTGCTGTTGCAGTGCTTCTGCTGCCATCATGCGGTGCTTCTGCTGCCATGTGGTGCTTTTGCTGCCATCATGCGGTGCTTTTGCTGCATCGTGCGGTGCAGCTGGGTGTGTGGCAGTGTGTGCTTTATGCGGCCGTCTCTCCTTCACTCCCTCACGCCACTTCTTCTCCCATGCCCCCCTCTGCGTGCCCGCAGCAACTCTGGCGAATTCGGAGTATTTGGACAATCAAAACGCGGCCAGGGCGGCAGTGGGCTCCGTTCCGCTGGTGTGGAACGCCACATGTGAGTGCCATGGTTGGGAGTGGGGCACCGACTGCTCACTGTGCGTGCATGCCACGGGCCTCCACCAGTGCTGCTCTCTCACGCCTTCCTCTGCATCAGCCAACTCAGCACACCCCAGCCTCTCAAAACTCTCTCTCTCTCTCTCTCATTCCGCCCCTCTCCCCCTGGCAGTGGCGGCGCACGCGCAGGCGTGGGCAACCACGCTCACCAACAGCACGTACAACTGTGGGCTGTCGCACGGCGGCAACCCCGGCGAGGGGCAGAACCTGTCAGGGGCCAGCCCTTCGGGGTACTACGCGGCGCCCGCGGCTGTGAGCTGGTGGGTGGGCGAGGGCGACCTGTACAGCTTCGCCGTGTTCTCGGGCGGCTGCAGCACCGGCAACTGGGCTGACTGCGGCCACTACACCCAGGTGCGGGGGCGGGGGTGGGGAGTGCTCTGGGGGGACATGTTCACAGAGATGGGAGCGGGCGTGGGGGTGGAGAGTGGGTTTGGGGAGCAGGATGCGAGAGGGGGAGTGGGTGTGGGCAGTGAGCCAAAGGTGTGGATTATGCTGCCGTGAGGCTGTAGCATGAAGGCGCACTCTGTGGCTTGCATTCTTGTCCTCACTGGATTCGCTCTGGCTGTGCCCCACAGGTGATTTGGAATAACACGAAGACGGTGGGGTGCGGCAAGGCATCATGCGGCACGAGTGCGGACGTGTGGGCCTGCAACTACTACCCGCCTGGCAACTATGGCGGCCAGCTGCCGTATGGTGAGTGCTCATCTTCAGCCTCGGGTGCAGCGCATTGGTGTCCACCATTCCGTCACATGCACCCGCACCTTACCTTCTCAATGCTCCTCTCACACATCAACTCCACTTTCGGCACTGCCCCCTGACCCCCACCTCCCTCACCTCCACCCATGTCCATTTATCCCCCCCTGTGTGCAGTGCAAGACCCGTGCTACCGTGTGGCCTGCCCGTCCACGGCCACCTGCGCAGTGAGCTACGGCCAGCCGGTGTGTGTGTGTGCGGCGGGGCAGGTGCTGGTGAACAACGCCACGTGCCTGCCCGACCCCTGCCTGTCTGGCAGCACGTCGTGCCCCGGCAACCTCGTGTGCGACGGCTCCTCTGGCACCGCCCAGTGCGCCTGCCCCACCGGCCTCGTGTCCATCTCTGCCGACACCTGCGTCCGTGAGTAACCCCTCTTCCTTATCTTCAGCCCTGTGGCTCTTCACCGTGTACTTTCTCCTCCTCGCCCCCCTGCCTGCTCACACTCTGGCTGCCCCTTGTCGCCACAGCCCTCTCACTTCCTCTGCGCCCCCAACTCTCTCCTTCGTCCTCGCCTGCAGCACCGGCATGTGTGGGGGCCACGTGCCCATCGCAGGCGACATGCACGGTGGACGGCAGCGGCTACCCCTTCTGCCAGTGCGCGGCGGGCTCGTACCTGGCCAACAACCTCTGCGTGGCTGGCACTCCTGCGGCGGTGGCGGCCACGAGCCTGGCGCTCTACAGCGCTGCCTCCTACACCAGCACGTCCGCGCTGCCCGGCCCAGTGCTTGTGCGCACGGGGCTGCCCGTCAACACATCGCGCGGCAGCTGTGTGGACATCCCCGCTAGCATTGCTGGCACCGTGCCGTCGCTGCGCGTGCTGTGGAACGTGCCCGACAGCACGGGCGCCCCCAAGCAGTCGTGCGGCACACTGTGGTTCTGGACCAGCGCTGCGTGCTACGGGTCCGCCACTGGCTACTACCGACCCGCGGGAGACATCACCAACTTCGCGTGAGTGCCCTGCCACGAGCGCTGCTTTGCTGTGATACAGCACTGTGCTGTTCTCAGGTTCTTTGCCCTCCCCCTATCCCATGCTAACTCCTCACCGTTGTGTTGTTGACCCGCTTGTGATTGCAGGACCACATCGGGCAATGTGGCAATAGTCAAATCCGTTGCCTGCCAGTTGTGACAGCCACCTGAGCAAACTCTTTGATAGCCCTCGCATCTTGTATAGTTGAGAAATTCAGCGCCCTTCTCCCAGCCTCACTTTCCAGACTTGAGTTGCGGATTAGCCTCCTGGAGCTCCCAGGTTGTACCATACATGATTAATTCATTTGTCCACTAGTTGCCTTGCTCCTTGTTCGTGCTCCGTTTTTGTGATGAGCCTTTGTGTGAATGAATGCTGGGTGTACTGCCGTAACAGATATTGCAACAATTTTGTTAGAAATACCCTCTACTGAATAATATGATATGGATGTACACAATTCCGATCAGCAAGAAACCATACAGTGCTGCACCTCTAAGCAAGAGTTATAAAAGCCCGCGGCTGAAATAGCGGACCTGGAAACCATTTGAATTTGGAGCATTGAAATCCGTCTAAGTATAAAATGGAAGGAAGGTTTGAGTTCAAATCCGAAATTTCAGGACTAGAAAACTGAGCCGAAACGAATTTGAATTGAGCAGGCTGTGGAATGAGGAGAAAGATAGTTTCGCTTTCTGTTGCGACACAATTATTCTGATGCGATCCGAGGAAAACACTGTACATATCGCACAAGAGGGCCTACGACATGTTTGGGCAAGAGGCTAACGACGAGGGAATTCATGGGCGTTTTTCAGGGCGTGTCCAACGCTTTTATTTCGCCCCAACCCAACACGAGTTTTTGACGTATTTTTAACACGCCGAAATATTGAAACGCCAAGTGTAAATGTGTTGAGGTACACATACAGGATCAACAGCAAAACCCGCGGACACGTTGTCAAATGTAACTGAGGTTGTTACTGTAGACTATACTGGATTGTGCCTTAGAGGGTACAACACCCTAGTCTATATATCCTTGTACACACACATTCTATTTTCAATCATTTTCTTTCTGATATGGTATCATAGTAGGCTAGATCCCCCCCCTAGCCCGCTCACGCTTCCGCCCCTACATTCCTAGCCGCCCCCCTGGCCGTCGCGCTTGTCCCTAGCCGGCCCCCTGGCCGTTCGCGCCCGTCCCTAGCCGGCCCCCTGGCCGTTCGCGCTTGTCCCTAGCCGCACCCCTGGTCGTTCGCGCCTGTCCCTAGCCGGCCCCTGGCCGTCGCGCTCGTCCCTAGCCGGCCCCCTGGCCGTCGCACCCGTCTCTAGCTGGCTCCCTGGCCGTCGTGCACGCTCCTAGCCGGCCCCCTGACCGTCGCGATCGCTCCTAGCCGGCCTCCTGACCGTCGCGCCCGTCCCTAGCCGACCCCTGACCGTCGCAATCGCTCCTAGCCGGCCCCCTGACCGTCGCGCCCGTCCCTAGCCGACCCCTGACCGTTCGCGCCCGCCCCTAGCTGGCCCCCTGGCTGTCGCGCTCGCCCTTTGCCGGCCCCCTAGCCGTCGCGCCCGTCTCTAGCTGGCCCCCTGGTCGTCGCACCCGCTCCTAGCCGGCCCCCTGCCCGTCGCGATCGCTCCTAGCCGGCCCCTGACCGTCGCGCTCGCCCCTAACCGGCCCCCTGGCCGTCGCGATCGCTCCTAGCCGGCCCCCCTAACCGTCGCGCTCGCCCCTAGCCGGCCCCCTGGCTGTTCGCGCCCGTCCCTAGCCGGCCCCTTGGCCGTTCGCGCCCGTCCCTAGCCGGCCCCCTGGCCGTTGAGCCCCTCCTAGCCGGCGCCCTGGCCGTTTCGCGCCCGCTCCTCGCAGGCCCCCTGGCCGTTTGAGCACGACCCTAGCCGTCGCGGCTGCTTCTAGCCGCCGTCACGGCCGCTTCCTGCCGTCCCTCGGCCACCCCTAGTCGTCCCGGCCGCCCCTCGCCGTCATGGCCGCCCCTAGCCGCCGCCGCTGCCGTCTTCAGCCGCCTCACGGTCGCTCCTGCCGTCGCGGCCGCCCCTCGCCGCCGTCGCGGCTGTCCCTGGCCGCCGTCGTGGCTGCCCCTGGCTGTCGTCGCGGCTGTCCCTGGCCGCCGTCGCGGCCGTGTCTACTTGCCGCCCGCGGGCCGGCCCCTGCATTTGGGCCGTCGCCGGCCCGCCGCTGCCTCGGGTTCGGCCCGTTCTTCCCGATCAGCACCGCCCTCCGAACCCCCCCCGGTACCGTACTGCATCGCTTTGCACCGCACTGCACCGCACTGTACCGCACTGTACCGCTTTGTACCGCACTGCACCGCACTATACCGCACTGCACCGCACTATACCGCACTGCACAGCACTGCACCGCACTGTCCTACTCTACACTGCCCTCTATTGTCACTCATAGCGGCGGTGCTTTGCTTTGACGCTGAGGGCCAGCCGATTGAGTTTGATGCATGGCATGCTGACCTCCGTCGCCATCTCACTGGTCAGCGGCAGGATGGCCACTCGCTGTCTGTCCATCTTGATGGTACCCTCCCTTGCCCTGACCCCCCCGCTGCCCTGTCTCCTGACCCCTCGTCCACTGAGCGTGAGTCCGCTGCAGCTGCTGCCCTTGCTTGCTCTGTCTGGCTGTCCCGTGACGCTGTTGCACAGCTTGCTATTACAGTGACGGAAAAAACTGTCAGGATGTTTGGCACTAATTAAGGTTTTTCAGGCTTTCCGATCACGGTACATAAAGTCTTAATGTTTAATGATGGTACACTTCGGGAGGGGCACATAGTGGATGTGTTCACAGCACTTAAGTCCATAGTAGTACACTGGATCTAACTTAGTGCCAAAAGTTATATAAGGGGGTCATGCGGACAGTTTTTTCCCGGGACAAAGCGCAAACTTCCGAACAGGTTTCTAGTACCTAGTACACCGACCCTTGGCCTTGATCACCACCCGCACCCTCCTAGGCATGTTATCTACGAGGTTAGTGCAAACCGTTGCAGAGATTTTCTCGCACTCTTCTTGGACCCTCCCTTTTGCATAAGGGGGTGAGCAGTAGGAAAATTCGAAGGATTTGAGCGTCTGCAAGAGTTTTGTGCACGATTTCTGTTTGAATGTTACGTATGAGGCTAGCCACACTGAGGTATGACCAAAGATGCCATTAGCCGATTGGTTCCATCTTATCATAGGTCATCTCCATCGTACCGCTGTAGGGTAAAACCACGAACAGAGGAACGAAAACTAGTGTTTATGCCGCGAAAATGAGGGTAACGTAGCATGGTGGATTGTTGATCCTTGCACTATTAGAATCACGCTAGGATCCGCAGCTCTCGTTATGGTGTAGCAGTCAAAGAAGTCGTGACTGTCCGGGAAGAATATCCGGGTTGAGGTCTGGTGAAGAAAAGGGCCACTCCAGTGCTACAAACTCATGCTCTCCAATGCTATTCCAAGCCTAGGCGGTACAAATGGCTTGGAGAGCATTGGGGAGCATGATTATGTTGCACTGGAGTGACCCTTTTCTTTACCAGACCTCAACCTCGATATTCTTCCCGAACAGTCGCGACTTCTTCGACTGCTGCACCGTGACGAGACATGCAGATCCTAGCGTGGTTCTAATAGTGCAAGGATGAATAATTGACCGTGCTACGTTACCCTCAGTTTCACGGCATATAAACTATTTTTCGCCGCTCTGTTCGTGGTTTTACCCTACAGCGATACGACAAAGACAACCCATGATAAGATGGAATCAATCGGCTAATGGCACCTTTGGTCATACCTCAGTCTGGCTAGCCTCATACGTAACATTCAAACAGAAATCGTGCACAAAACTCTTGCAGATGCTCAAATCCTTCGCGATTTTCCAAGTGCTCACCCCCTTATGCAAAAGGGTGGTCCAAGAAGAGTGCGAGAAGATCTCTGCAACGGTTTGCACTAGCCGTGTAAATAACATGCCTAGGAGGTTGCGGGTGGTGATCAAGGCCAAGGGTCGATGTACTAGGTACTAGAAACCTGTTTGGAAGTTTGCTCTTTGTCCCGGTAAAAAACTGTCCGGATGACCCCCTTGTATAACTTTTGGCACTAAGTTAGATCCAGTGTACTACTAAAGATTTTAGCGCACTGAACACATCCACTATGTGCCCCTCCCAAAGCGTACCACCATTAGACATTAAGACTTTATATACCGTGGTCGAAAAGCCTAAAAACCCTAATTAGTGTCAAACATCCGGACAGTTTTTTCCGTCACTGTAGCAATGCCCTCTCCCTGTCCGAGCGACCTCGCTTCAGGTCTATCACCACTGCCCAGGCTTTCCTAGATGATGTTGTCCAGCGCTATTCCACCCCGTCTGCTGCCTCGGTCGGTCGTCTGATCCTCCCCATGCTCTTTCCTGACCTTGCGTCGTTCCCCACTGTCGCCGACCCGGCCGCTCACCTGCGCACCATAGACGAGACGTGGCGTGCTGCCTGCACCCCTACACAGCTTCTAGCCCACCAGCCGCCCCTCACCTCTACTCTCTACCTGCTAGCCACCCGCCTCCCTGACCGTCTTGCCACTGCCCGTGACCGCTTTCTTAGCGTCCACCCAGCAGACCTTACCCTCACTGACTTTGTTGACACCCTGTCTGCTATAGAGGCCCGCCACCGCTCTATCGCTCAGACCAGCAGTACTGTGCTGGTCCCTACCTTTCAGGGTTGTGCCCCCGCTCAGTGCACCTTCTCCAACGGTTCTGCTGCTGTGGCTGCGTCTACCCAGGTTGCTGCTGCCTGCTCCTGTCGGTCACTCCTCCACCCGACTCTCCTGTGGCACCACCGTCTAGGTCACCCTGCGCTCCCGCGTCTACGACACATGTCAAAGCACGGTCTCGTCCTAGGCCTCCCTGGGTCGTTCTCTGAGTTTCCCTCCTCCCCTGCCCCACCATGCACGCCTTGTGTCGAGGGCCGGCTTCGCCGTGCTCCTCACTCCTCCTCGTTTCCCCCTACCGCTGCACCGCTACAGACTCTGCACATGGACGTCTGGGGCCCCGCCCCCATCCATGGGCCGCGTCGAGAGCGCTACTTCCTAGTGCTTGTCGACGACTTCACGCGCTATACCACTGTGTTCCCCCTGTAGCGGAAGGCCGACGTGCCTGATGTTCTTATCTCGTGGCTTGTCGATGCGCGTGTCCATCGCGGTCTCCCTGTCTTGCGCCTCCACTCCGACCGTGGTGGCGAGTTTGCCTCTGGTGTCCTTGGTCGTTTCTGTCGTGCGGAGGGCATCACCCAGACGTTCACCTTGCCGGACTCCCCGAAGCAGAATGGGATCGCTGAGCGACGCATCGGTTTGGTCATGGAGGTGGCTCGCACCTCCATGATCCATGCCGGTGCACCCCATTTTCTGTGGCCGTTCGCCGTTCGCTACGCCGCTCACCAGCTTAACCTGTGGCCACACCCCCAGCAGCCT